TCACAGATGATGAAAGCGCCTCCTCATCCTCGTCGTGCACTACCTCTCGCAGCAGCTGGAGCCAAGGTAGAGCGCCATGGCAATCGCGACGCCAATAAACACAACTGAGGACACTGAAAGGTCCTCCTATAGCCAGCGAAACAAATGCTGCAAGGGCGGTGACCTTAGTCATTGTCCCTTCAAATCCCATGAGAGTGTTCGCCTGACACAGGAGAGAAAGACATCGATCCTCATGCTACAGGCAACATATTATCACAATCAAAACATGTGTAGCAGTCCCCGTGTCTACCATAGGCGATAAATTGTCAGTCTTTGCACTCGTGTTGCTGTAAAGTTTTGGCTCAGGCAGGAGCGGCAAAGCAATTAGATGCTGTCAGTGCGACTTGTAACTCACCCTAGCACTTCTGCAAAACCAGAAAAGGGCACGACCTACCACCTTACTCTCACCACGCTTGCAGGGAATGACATTCTTGTGCCCGCCAATCTATGGGAGCATGATATGTTCGAAGCACTGGAAGATCTTATAGTCGAATACTTGCCGACGGTTAGCCAAATTGACACTTTCGGCTGCGAGGTAGAACTACTGCACCCAGACACCCAAGAATCCCTGAAAGACCCTATACAGGACACTCTTCGAAACAATACGCATTTCCACCTAGTGGTGCGGCAATGTTTTGAAGTGTTCGAACACAAATAGCAAATCCAGAAAGAAGATTACATGGACTACCCAAAAGCTATACGGGCCCCGGCGAATACCTCAGGTGCAATCCCGAACAATGCCTTTTCGTCTGTTCCGCGACTGAGACATGTCTGGGCGGAACCCAATTTGCGCACTGTCGGGTACGAGGCATGGCAGAACTGTTACCAATTGCAGATTGGCAAACTCCCCATGACGGTGGAGTCTATTCAGCAATCTGTATTTGAGGGATGTTATGCGCTTGTCACAGTTGTTGCACCAGGATGCGTAGACTTTGGTGTCCGTGCCTTCGCTGAATGTTGCTCGCTCCAACACATTGGTGTGTGGGACGATGGCAATAACACATTTGCTCCCGGAGCGACACTTGCCCCTGCACGTCTTTGATAGCTGCCTCCGCCTCTCCCAAATCACCTTCACACAAAGTAAGTCAAGATCAAAGCTTCCTCCATTACCACCACCATATCGAGGAGTGCCACAAGGTTGTTTTAGCTCGTTGGGGCTTACCACCAAGGGCAGATAATTTTCTTGGGTCTTCGGCGTGTGAAAACTGCAGACACCTTTCCCAGGTCGATCTTTCTGCCACAGGGATCAAGGTCATTAATGAACATGCCTTCTCGCAGTGTAAGGAGCTAACGCACATTTGGCTCCCGAGCACGTTGCGGGAAATCCTATTGTGAAATCCTCCAAGAGGTGGAGCTCCCACCTGCACTTCGGAAAATCGCCCATATAAGGCTTTTACCAACTGTAGTCAGCTCTTGCGCTTCGTACTACAGCAAGGTAAAAGAACCACTTGGAGGGGACCCTACGCAGAGAGCAATACGTTTGACTTATGTTCTCGGTTTCAAATGCCCAAGTGGATCAACCTTCTCCCTCCTGATGGAGGAACCCCAGATTTAATGGCATGCGAGGTCAATTGGCCCGAGCGCAAAAGGCAGATCTTACCGGCGCACACACAGGCCGTATTGGAAGGCATGCACAGGGCGGTGACCTCAGTCACTGTCCCTCTTGTCCCGCGAAATATGCCTGCCTAATAGTGCCTACTTGGGAGACATCCTGCTGGGGTGATAGATCTTAGTAACTTTCACACCCAACCCTGATTGTACTTTTTGATTGTATGGTTGTTTCATATGAGCATTTTCCCTGTTGCTGATCACCAAACGACCAATAAACAAGGACTTCTGCAACGAGGCATCGGCTCAAGCACGAAAGGTCACGTACTGCGACAATCCTCGCTTCACTTCCCTCCCTCCTGTCCTGTGGAGGGAGGCTGCAAAGCCTGTACATGCATTGCACCTTCGCGGTCCCTTGCTGACAGCCAACCATAAATGGTGGACAGTGCAACATACCACTCATGAAAGGTCACACTTTCGTTTGGCACGCTAGGGCTTTCTGTATTGCCGTGGTTTTCCATTGGCCGCTTTCTAGAGCAACTTCACGCCTGACCGCTGCTTTCAAACGCAGCTGAAAACAGCTTGCCTGTCTATATTGCCGCTGCCTCCCCAAGTGAACTACTTGCGCAAACATAGAATACATGGCCTGGGTATACCGGCCACTCAACCAAGTGCACAAGTGCACTAGCTGGCACATAGCCGATACCTGCAACAAGCCGGCACTGCATTCGCACTTTCGCACTTTCGCAACTGCTCACTCTGAGGCGTTTTGCAATAATTCAATGCCCCACATAGGTTTCACCTAGGTTTCAATTTTGTTTCACCCCTGCATGACCTACCTGAGTCTCCCTACCGGCCTTGCGGTTTTGTTCATTGGTTTTGGGGCGGTTTGTTTGGTTTTGCTGTTGTTTGGTTTGCGTGTTGTTGCACCTTCATGGCCGGAGACTCATTCACAAGTAGCACAAGCTGACCTGTGCATTCTCTGCACACATGGCGGCTCCATCCGTGCAAAAAAAATAGCGCAACCGTATCTGGATTCGCTGCTGTTTACAGTGACTCATGTCTCTCGAAGTTCTCGATGTGCATTTCGACTGTGTAGGCTCGCGAAACCTGATTGGTGGCGGAGTGCTTGTCGCGACTGCGTTCTCGTTGTATCTTTGGACATGTGGTGATCTTCAAGCACTTTGATTTCAAGACAAGAAGCGTGACTTTGGACATGTGGCGTCAACAGATTTCCACCAACTCTGGAACAATGTGGCCTCATTCAGGGGCTCTTACAGTGATGGTCAAGCGTCGAAGGAGAAAGAAGTCATCGAGCAGCTTTAGGAGCCGCTATCAGCAATCTGAATCCATGCGTGCACCCTGCCGTCTGGAAGGAGGCTCCAATTCCAGCGGATGCGAATCCGAGTGGCGGTTCTCAGGAATCGAGAGATGTGGTCAAGCCAATCTGGCCAAGCTTTCGCCTCAAAAGGAAAGTCATCCTCAGGTCTGTGGGGGACACTGTACACATCCAGGCAGTGCCCCAAGCAGTGCCCGCCCAAGGCCGGTTCATCAGGACTGAAGGAGCCAGAATGTCCACCACCGGGATTTGAAGAACGGCCAAAGACCAAGGGACAGGAAGAAGACGAGAGAACATTGGAACTTAAGGCTCTGTTTCACTGGACTGTTTCTCGTTGACTTCCTTTTTGGTTCGATGTCACCACGCATCCAGAAAGGGAAAAAAACAATCGCCAGAACATCAAGCGTTTGATCATCGTTTCACATTTTGTTTGACCCACCCTAAAAGATGAACCCAGCACGGGTCTGGTTGGGCAATTTGCCTTTTAGTGCGTTGCAAGACCGAAGACCGTTTTCCCAATTGCAACACTGACGGGAATGAATGGATTATTTTTTTGAATGGATTCTTCTTGGGTCATTGGTGTCGGTGTGCTCATTATGATGGATGAACAGCATCAAGTTCAATGGTTTTTTTTTTGAGATGTTGCTCTTCAGATTGATCATCGCAGTTTGCATTGTGCGCATTCATGACACGAACAGGCGCAACACGAGCAAGTCTTCAGGTGAGGGAACACTGATTTGTTCGTTGAGTTTTGATGTGAAGACAGAGGCAAACAAGTGTTGAAATTGCTCAACACACAATGCTTCAATGACCACCAAGTTTCCTGCAAATGGTGTTGAAAATTCAATGTGCAAATGAAGTGGTTTGTGCTAACATGTTGTATCACAGCAAAAGAAAGTTGGAGGCAGTCACTATGGAATAACTGAGGGAAGCAGAATTGCTGATGTTCAATTTTGCAAAGTTCACCAGAAAAAATGCAAATTTTCATCAGTTGAATTCTGTCCGTGGCACAGACATTGATACGATCTTGTTTTTTCACCGTCGCATCATTGTGGCTGACAGAATTCATTGGATGTTCGCTTGCTTTGCAAGAAATGGGACAGCTGTTTGCACGAAAACACATACTGCATGTGAGCAAAAATGTTGAACATCATCCCGATACATATAGTCCTTTGCAAAGTTCCTCTTCACAACTTTTTAGGGGAAAACAAACCACAGAACAAAAACAATCCTTCTTGGAGTGAGGAGATCACACCGAGTTGTGAATCTTTTCTGGACACAGCTCAGCAACGATTCGTGCGACAGCTCAGCAAGAACTGGTTCAGAGTTTCCCGTTCAATGCTGTCACACAACAGGTCTGACAGGCTCGCCCGGATCGGGCTGTTGATGCCGAGAACCTCGGGGCCTCCAAGGGTCGGAGACACGATCGAGCACAGAACAATCGGTCGGAACGATCTTTTTGGGTGATGTTCAAAAAATTGGGTAGACTCACATCGTCTTGAGGGAATGATTTTGGGTGAACATGTTGATTCATTATGTTTTGAAGAAAGTTGTTTCTCTTCGCAAAAGACAATCCGGTTCTGGATCGAATGGAACGTGACTCGTCGCACGAAGGGAACATTCGGTGTGTGATTGGATCTGTCAGCGACAGTTGCTCCACAGTGTACGAAGGACGGATCATTGTTCTTGGATTATGATCCCAGAGGAACACTGACTGCATCGATACCAGGCGAGTGCTGACCAACTCACTAAACCCACTTTCAATCGAGTGTCGCTGTGGACTTCAATTTGGGTCATAGTCGGGGAGACGGATCCTTTTTGCATTGATCAGAGCTGCGTCGAGAAGAGCAGAAAAGTATTCCCCAACTCAAAACCAGCGCCTGTTGTGGGGGCTCGTTGGGGACCTCTGTGTTTCAGGCAGCAAACATCTCATCCGTTTTGGGTGCCTTGCGGTGCTGAACAGCTGTTGTTCACGGATTTCAGGGATTTCCGCTGTTTCTTCTGGGTCAGGGAGTCTCTGCTGCCGACTGTGAAGCACCCAGACCTCCCAGACCTTGGAGGAATCTCTCGCTAGGTCTCTGCCTGGCTCCGGCTGCAGCCCGAGTGTAGAACTGGTCATGTTTCAACTTTTGGACACGGTGTCACGACGGTGTTTTGGACATGCTGCCATAACATCCAAAAGACCTGGTGTACACAACATCCAGTGTAAGCAAGTAGACTTTTGGGGGCGGTGGATGTCATCTAGCAGGGCCTGCAGCCAGCCCTTGCTCCCTGGTTGATTTCCTGACCAAAGCTGGTTAGCTCCGGTTTCGCAGACATTTCAGGTTGCAAGGCGCATCAAAGTGAATGACATGAGACTTGACTTCCAAATGTTCTGGTTTAATCTGGGACTTGACTTCCCGCTTTTTCAAGAGACCACCTCTGGCTGATATCTGATGGGCAAAAAAACAAGCTGGGGGGCAAACTCTGTGCCGCCAGCAGGTCTTCAAGACCAAAAGCATCGATCTTATTTTTTATGAGGGATGCTGTCTGTTCATGGACTCTTGTCCAAATGCAGAAGGACGTTTTCTGGCATTTTCTCGGTAGTGGGCAGTTGCTGCCAAATTTTCCAGGCGTACCTCCTAGCAAGCGGTCCGGACCAATTGTTCAAGAATTGATCCTGAGGCGGCCGGACCCCATCGGCGGTCACTCCCACGAGTGGGGGCACCTGGTGCGTATCGCTCATCGCTTGTGCCGCGCGGAGTGGAGATCGGAGTGGAGAGTAGAGGCACTCTTGACAGCTAATCCGATCCGCCCAACCTGGGGATTCCTTGGGGGCTGTCTTGGTCATGGAACCGGCGCTTGTGGTCTGAATGGTACGACTTCTGCCTCAACGTTTTTTTTTTGCGGTGTTTTGGGGGGTTTTCGTGCGGTTTTTCTTCCAACAACTGGCACTACTGGGGGCCCGCGGTGTTTTTCCATGGTGTTCCACGGCCGTTGACAGCTGTCGTTTTCCTGTTCCTTCTAGCTAGGCGTCACGAGGACTGGCCCAGCGAACGACGCGTAGACGAGTTTCACACCATCGTCAGGGAGAGAGGTGCACTGACATCTTTGCCAGAGAGGCGTCTTGTCTTAAGTCTGGTCTGTTCTCCAACAAAGGCCCCGGTCTTTGGGGGAGCCGTGGAATTGGCGCCACGTCGAAACCGTCAATCCTCTCCATTTCCGGTTCCGGCTCCAGTGCACTTGACCCATATGGTCACGGTCTGTCGAAAGAGTTTTCTTTTTCCTGGATGACATGCTGCGCAACATGTCTGCCCTTTGGCTGCTTCTATGGGATAAAGAGGCCCAACACCAATGAGGCAGTTTTTTCAGATCCGTCTGTTCGTCTCGTCTTGGTGGTTGTGTGCCACGTGTTGTTTGCCCAGTGAGACTGGGACGGCCCGGCGCACGGAGCGTCCGCGAGGCTCCAGATCGAACTTTGCATGGGAGGATGAGAAGCAGAGCGGGACAGCCGCAGGGAGCTGAGGGGCGTGGAAGAGCGATGAAGGAGAGTCTCTTTCGGAAGATCCACCTTTTGTAAATGAGGCACCATTGTGCTGCTGTAGGGGTGATGCATTGGGGCTGCTGGCGATACTGCTGACGAGACATCGTGGGATAAAACAGCTGCTTTTTAGAAGAGCTTGTGGCTTGTGGTAGCTCCACAAATTATGTGGCTCAAGGAAGACAATTTTCAGGCAACTTTGGATCAACTTTGGATCACCCGCTAGACATTGTACCAGTATGCTGGAGGTTGGAATCGTTTTTGACCAGGAGGGCTGAGGGTGTATTTTAGTTTCAACCCGGAAAGGGTTTGAGTTCAATGTTTCCTAAAGTTGTGTAACTGAATGCTGTATAAGAATCTTTAGACACATCAAGTTCTTGCTTCGTCCACGTCTTGCTTTGGCCGGACACTCCACCGTTTTTAGTTTTCTTTCCGCTGTGGGTCTCACGCATCAGTGAATCTCTGTTGGTATCTCAAGATGGCACTCGCACCCCAAGTAAGATGTCTTGAACAGATGTGGGTCCATATACACCACCAAACTTGGACATTTATGCCATCCACTCTCAATCCACTGCACCTTCGGCTCACGAGGGGTTCGCTTCAGCCGAGGTGGCGATTCGTTCTTCCGTCTGTTGGGCTTCCAGAAGGGTGGTTAGGGGTGCCCAACCATCCACTTGCTTGGTCCACGTGCGGGTCCTGACTGGCCAAAGAGAAGCCATCGAGCAGCGCTTCGTCAAAGAGCCGGGATGGAATAGGCTGAGCGTGAAGTCAGTGAGTCGCACACGTGCCGCAAGTACTGACAGGCACGAGTCCCTACAGTGCACTTGGCCTCTAAGCCTTCTTTGACCGTACATTTCTTGCATCAGCGAATCGCGGTCACCAGGCCTATGGAACTGCCAGAGCACGCGAATCATCTTTAGTGAGCAAAGTGGCTCTTGGAGCCGCTGTTGTTGTGGAAGCGTTGTTGGTCCTCGCCTGGCTCTTGTGGTAAGTCCTTGAAGCGTCGGGCGGTGTCAAGCGACTGTTCTACTGTCGGCGACACGCGAACACAGCTGAAGCTGGAGCATCTTCCTTGGGCTCGCGCTCTCGAAGCAGGACCTTGTTCCAAGTGGAGGACGACGCCGAGCAGCCGCTTCTGCCACATAGCCTGCCCGAAGGCGCGGTGGGAGGATGGGACCAGAAGAGACGGCTGAGGAGCTTGGATGAGAAAGGAGGAACATCTGAGTCGCAGGCGTGTGTTTGGCCAGGGAATGTTGCACCCCCCTGTGAGACTTTTTGGTGGACCGGGTATGGTGAGAGGGCTCTATGATGCATATTTGTGGCTCCCTTTTCTATCCACCTTGGGGGTCAACACCTCTTCAAAGCTCAGGTCAAAGTGGTAGGAATCACCGGTCTGTTTACCAGACCAATGCCCGTTGCCTTCGGAGCGAACATCTCCTCTCGCGCGAGACGCGCGCACGAGTCGCCCGAGACGCAATGCACAGATTGGAACGACGAGAGCAAGGTCACTGTGCACCGAGGCCCCTTGGGCTTTGTTGAGGTGCGCGGACAGGGATAACTCTGGGGATACTGACAGAGGGAGGGTTGAAGGGATGAAATGACCTTCAAACTAAAGATGGTTTTTGTCTATTTTGCATCAAGTTGGGACTACATGTTGTGAAATGACTACAGGAGTGTTTCTGGACAAACATGTCGAACTCAGGGAGATCTTGGAAATGGTTCCATTTTGGGAAAGACCAGGTGGAGGCAAAATGGGAAGCTGGGAAACATTCTGGCTTAACAGGCGGAAACTCCAGACAGGTAGGAACTTGTGGAGCAAAGACCAAAGGTAAGAAGGCCCTGATGAGAAGTCTACATGTCACAAAATTCTTTTGATTGTAAGGCTTGCGGATATTCCTCCAAACTTCAGCAAATTTGGGGGTGCTGGTCCATTTGATGGTCTATAAATGGATGGTTGAAGTGTTTCTTGTGGCTGGAAGGGCAAGCCTGTGAAGGTCAAGCCCGTGAGGATGCGAATCCATGCAACAGAGACCAGTTAACGCTTGATGTTTGTTGATGTGATGTTGATTTGTTTGTGCCGCCAACTGACTCATTGTGCGACAGCTGCTCAAGGCGTTGCTTGGACTGACACTTATCACTTATCACAGTGAACCTACAAGGGTATTTTTAGGCAAAATAGAAACCGAGTTGATTCCGTAGCCATAGGATTGAAGAGGACCACAGGAGGGTTGACGAAGATCCTGGCGTTGTGCGACATTTTGGGGTGAAGAAACTTTTGGGTTGTTCCGATCCAATGATTGAGAATGAGGGACACCCTGAGGCTGGTCCTTTGGTTGCTGCTTCCGCCGGGCTGAAGCCGAGAGAACAAAGAGTTCAATTTCAGAGAGAACAACGACACGACGCAGGAAACCAGGTTCACGAAGGAAACCAGGTGACTAAAGGATTTTCTCCAGGTTTTTCAGCCAACTCCCTGACCCCCAAGCGATGGCCACCTCACATACGAGCTCGATGACCTCACTTCCGCAGCCGCTTCCGCCACGTGTGATACAGGTCCGGAGTCGAAACTGCGTCGAGTCTTTGGGAAGAAGCCCAGCGGCTGCCCAAAATCAGAGTGAGGTCTCATTGGACCGGTTTTGATCTGGACAAATGCCATTCAATTTTTGACCAAAGGGACGACACGGAGATTTTGAGTCTGTTGTTTATTGAGGTCTCGCTGTTTACTTGGGAGGAAGATGCAGGTCTTGGTTTCTGTCTACAATGATATGGTTTTTCACCAACCAAGCTTGAGAGTGATAGAAGACCTGTTTGGTGACCAAACTCAGTTTGAAAAGTGGGATTCGATTTATGATGGACTTGCGAGTTGGAGACAGCATGTTCAGATATCCTCTGGTTGGATGAGAAGATTGCGAACCTAACGACAGTGCCAAGGGACATACCAGTCCCCCCATTCTGAAGAGCTTTCCGACTCCCATCGATGCACTCGGACCGAATGGCTCGAGTTCGACGGATCCACCGATCGATCTGCGCCAGGGGGGCAGCCTCCAGTCCACCGTGCCGGCGACTGTCGTGAGACATGCAGCTCCACCGTGCGGCTGTCGATACCCTTTTTAGGGAGCGAAACGAGCCGTAAAGCGAGTTGGGTGAAGGCATGTAAGGCATTCTTATTGACTGGGTTGAAAGAAACGAGAACACACCTAATGGCAGCGCTGTTTCCAACTGCTGGTAAGGATTTCTTTCTTTCAATGTGGAGTAGCTGCGAATACACCTGGTACACAACCTGCTGACCCCCGCAAGAACTCCGGTCACTTGAGCACTTCCGCACTCTCGACCCGTTCCACAGAAAAGCAACCGCCCTCCCCTTCGTCCCCGGAGGGCAGTCCATCGGCGGAGCCGATGGAGAGCGCAGGTATTCCTATGTGGCGTCACCCCCCAGAGTGGTGAACACGGTGAGCACTGTGAACCCTCTGTCACCTAGCTGCGCTTTCGGATCGGAGGTTCACAGCTGAGAAGTCCATTCATGTGTTGAGCTTCAGATTTGAAGCACCTAAACTAGGGGTTCTCATTGGAGATTGTGGACCGCCATCTCTTCATCTGTCAGCCGCTGTGGAGAAAGCAGCTTTCTCCATCAGGCTGGACATCCGAGTCTTCCACCTTCTGCTTTGAGAAGCAAATACCAAGGTCCTCCCATCCCAGCAACCCCGGTCCGTGTACATGTTCCACACAGCTCTGAGCACCACATGGAGACGTGGATTGGCTCTGGCTTTGTAAGAGCGTGGTCGGACAGGATCCGGTCAAATCCTGAGGATAGGTGACCCAGTTGCCTAATGGGTGAGGCGTCGTCTTTGCAAGCTGTCTGCCCATGCGGGCTGCACACTGCTTGACAAGCACGAAGTTGGAGGTGCGACTCCTCCCTGGGTCGTTTGCTTCCCCAGGCAAATCACCTCACTCCGTGTGGTATTCGTCAGAGTATGAGTTGCGCCACTGCGCTATGCGCCGCTAGCAGCCGAGAAGGCAAGCTTGTGTGGGATCCTTGAACATGCTTCTCACAACCAACTTTTTGTAATTGATTGCCACTGGTGAACCAAATATTGAACGACTCCTCAAAAGAATCTGGAGTTTGGCTGCCATGGTTTTTCGTCCTGAAACTCCCTGCGTATCGATAGGTCCTTCAGCCAATTCCGGTGGCTTCTTGGATCAATTTTTCTGGAGTTTTGGATCCCTTTGACAAACCGATGATGTGGAGTACGAATCATTGAAAGGACTACGCACTTCCTTTAAAAGTAGATCCATGATTACGCACGCGGTAGGGCAAACGGCCCCCTTTTTTTCGGATGACCGTGGAGGTGGTGATTTTCCACTTCCATGATTATTTCAAGGAGTGTAAGTTTACGGTGATGGTCCATGGTGGCTGAAACCTGAAAAAGTTCACCCAACTCTTTTGTGGAGGGTGACATGAGAGGGTGACATGGTCTTGTTCTTTTTTTTGCTGTGAGCGACCTCTTGAGCCCAGGGTTTCAGCTGCCAGCCACTTGGCGCAGTGTTCCAAGTTGTGCGGGACGTCGTGTCGTGGTCACAGAGGGAGCAGGGGTGGTGCAGGGGTGGTACCCTGTGGGGTTCGTAAACCTCCTTAGACAGATCTGGTGGAACACTTACTACTGTATCTATTGTGTAACGTATTTGTTGGGACCATGTAAACTGAAGCAAACCACATGGTTAAGCGGTTGATGTGAAGAAAACTCCTGGGTGTGACTGGGTGGGTGTGTCTGCCTGTCGGGCCTCACTCACCATCGGCAAGTCTCACTGGGTCCGGTCAAAGGAGGAAAGGTGCAAAGCCTTTGAGAATTTGCCTTAGATACTGGAGGAACATCAGTTTGGATGGTTTTGTACTCTCACGTGCGGTACGAGCCTTGCTCAAAATCAGACAGGTTCAGAAGTGATTCTCCCAGTATTTGGGGGCAAAGGGAAGCATGACCGTGTGAGCAGATGGCCTACAGTGGGCTTAGGGATTCCACATACTGCATAGCCCAGGGCAACGGCGATGCCCTAGATCGCCATTTGTTTGGGATTGGGCCAATTGTTTGAACGCAGAACCATTGACCCTTTTGGAAACCAACATCTTTCGCCCACCGTTGTACGAAACCCACGCTGAGAAGCCCACCCGAGCCCACCCCCCCCCCGGTCGTCCTTGGCGCGGCGCGGTGCTTCTGATGCGCGCCTCGTCGTCACTCCCAGTCGAGGCTTTCACAGCACGGCCAGTAGTTTTCAAGGTCGAGTCGGTGGCCCGGACAGCAGTGACGCCCATCGGAGGTCGTTCTGGCCGCCTTGGGGTTGGCGAGGAGTCGCCCAGGAAGGTCTCTAAGTGACAGGGGGTTGTGAGTCAGGTTTGGTGGGCGAAGCTGATCAAGTGCGGGTTTTGGATCTGAGCATGAGTTTTGGATGCACGACTTTCTTTTGATGTTCATGGCAGTCTAGGTGTTGTGAACTCAGCCGCGCAGTCGGTCGGTGTGGTACTTCTCAAGAAATCTCGACAAATGCGTGGTCGTGACGCATTGATGGACAAAGGAGTGGGTCATCAGGATGGCAGCAGAGACCTGACTCAAAGGTCTAGAGTGGTCGACCAAGAGAGCGCAGAGCAACCTAATGAAATTGCTTTGGGAAGGCTCTGGAGTCAAACCTGTGGCGAATTTGGTTTGCTCATCTGCCTTTTGCTTTTGCCCGATGCTCACACTTCTTCATCAAGTGATAGCTCCTTACTATCACCATATATATATATATAAATATCTAGCTGAAGTCGTTTTCTTGTTAAGTTGCTTGGGGACCGTCGTTCGTTGTTTCGGGGGAATTAGCGCAGAAGAAGTGTTTTTGACCCTTGCGGACCTCTGAAGAATTGGTTGTTCAGAACTAAGAGAGGGTATAAAACACGTCTTGTTTTTTTGCGCTGTTAGTGGCAACATACGAGACCCAAAGGACTATTTGATGGGTTTGTTTGTCTCGTGAGTGGTGAGTGAACGGCCATGGTAAAAGCTGTGTAGACGTTGTAAACCTTTGTAAATTTGTTTGTAATTCAACAACTCTGTCAACTCTTTGCAAAAGTTGCAAACGTTGAACAAATTCTTAAGACTTTGTGAAAGTTTTGTAAACGTTGTATAACTTTGTAAAAAGATACAACTTTGTAAACGTTCTAAAAACTGTGTAAAACGTTGCTCTAACTTTGAAGAATAATTTGAAGAACTCCAAAACTTCGTAAAAGGTTGGTAAACCTTTTTGCAAAGTTTGCGAATTTTACAACGTCTTAAAAAAGTTTTACCAAGTTCTTACAAAGTTTTACAAGTTTCAAGGTTGACAAAGCTTACAAAGTTTGACAAAGTTTAAAAATGTTTTACAAAGTCTACAAAGTGTTGACAAAGTTTACCAAGTTTATACCAAGTTCACTACGTTTTTACAAAGCTTTCAAAGTTGGTACAAAGTTTACAAAGTTTTACACAGATTTTATGAAGTTTGCAAAGTTTTACAACCGCTTACCAAGTTTGCAAAGTTTTACAAAGTTTACAATATTTTAACACAGTTTACAAAGTTTTGAACAATTTCCAATTTTTACCCAGTTTACAAAGGTTTCATAATTTAAAAATCAATTAAAGACGTATTGAAAGTTTTACAATGTTGCTGCAATGTTGACAAAGTTGTTACAAAGTTTACACAGTTTTGCAAAGTATTGAAAGTTTACAAAGCTTGTACAAAGTTTATAAAAATTTGACAAAGATTGCACATTTTACAATTTTTACATGGCGTTTTTACAAAGTGTACAAACATTTGCAAACTTTACACAGTATTTACATAGTTTAACAAAGCTTTCACAAAATTTGCAAAGTTTATACAGTTTACACAGTTTTTGCACAGTATTGAAAGTTTACAACGAATTTACAAAGCTTTGGAATTTGACAAAGTTCTTGCAAAGTTCGGAATTTACACAGTTTTTCAATTTTTACAGAGTCTACAAAAGTCTCACAAAGTGTTTACAACGTTTTCAAAGTTTTTACAAAGTTTACAAAGTTGTACAACGTTTTTACAAAGTTTACAACAGCTTTTTCAAGTTTACAAAGTTTTTACAAAGTTTTTACAAAGTTTACAAAGTTTTTACAAAGTTTACAAAGTTTTTACAAAGTTTTCACAAGTTTACAAAGTTTTTACACAGTTTACAAGGTTTTTACAAAGTTTTTACAAAGTTTACAAAGTTTTTACAAAGTTTTTACAAAGTTTACAAATGGCTGGTGAAAAACACTTGTGTTTACAACAAATGACATGAAAAACACTTCTTTTTAAGCAAAAAATCGTGCAAAAACACTTCTTTCACAGAACTTTACAAAGTTTTACAAAGTTTTTACAAAGTTTACATAGTTTACACAGTTTTTACAAAGTTTACAAAGTTTTTACAAAGTTTACAACGTTCTGACAAAGTTTGCGACATTTGCCTTTTGTTACACAAATTTACAAAGTTTTTACAAAGTTTACAAAGTTTTGAAGATTCTGGACAGTTTACAAAGATTTTGCCAAGTTTACGAAGTCTTGCAAAGTTTACAGAGTTTCGACAAAGTTTACAAAGTTTTGACAACGATTACAAAGTTTTGCTAGTTTATTTATTTGCAAAGTTTACAAAGTTTCTCTCTACATTTTACAAAGTTTTTACAAAGTTTGTACAGTTTCACAATTTGTACAAAGTTTTTAGGAAATTTACAAAGTGTTCAAAGTTTACAAAGTTTTCACAACGTTCACAAGGTCTTTCAACATGTTTACAATGTTTTGACAAAGTTTACGAAGTTTATAAAAACGTTTTACAAAGTTTGCAAAGTGTTACGAAGTCTATAACGCCTTTTTTTAAATAGAGTTTACGAAGGCCTACAACATCTAAAAGTTGTCTACAAAGTTTACAAAATGTTAGTACAAAGTGTACAAAGTTTGCAGTGTTTACAAACTTTTTGACAAAGTTCACAAAGTTTTGACAAAGTTTACAAGTGTTTACAAAGTTTTGACAAAGTTTTCGCATTTTACAATTTTTTACACAAAGTTTTCGCAGTTTTTTCACAGTTTTACAAAGTGTACAAAGTTTTTACAAAGGTTTACGAAGTTTAAAGTGTTTCAGTGTTTAAAAAGTTTACAATTTTTAACAACAGTTTACGAAGTTTTGACTAAGTTTGCAAAGTTTTTTCAATCTTTACACAGTTGTTGCAGAGTTTTGAAAGTTTACAAAGTTTTAGAATTTCACCAAAGTTTCTACAAAGCTTACACAGCCTTTACAAATTTACAAGTATTTAAAAGGTTTACAAAGTTCTTACAAAGTTTTGACACAGATTGAAAAAAATCCGGAACTTTGTAGAAAGTTGGTAAGCATCAAAAACTTTTGTAAAAGCTTTGTAAAAACGTTCAAACTCAATAACTTGGTAACAACTTTGTAAAATTCCAAGACTTGTTCAAAGCTTGATAAATGTCCAAAGCTTTGTTCAGATATCTAAAGGTTCAATACTTTGTAAACACTTCGTAGAATTTAATGTACTGTAAGTTTCCAAAGCTTTGTGAAGTTTGTTATTTCTATTTTTAAACTTTGTAGACTTTGTTAAAATTTTGTAATGCAAAAACTCGGTAAAAAAGTTGTAATTGCAAAACTTTGTCAATTTTTTGTAAAGATCCAAAACTTTGTAAACACTTTGTAGGAAGTTTGTTTGAAGACCTGCGAAAGCTGTTCAAGAAGAGCTGATCTTTGGATCAGTGAGACTGCTTGCATTTTTTTGTTAAAAGAAAAACGACATTTGGTGCTTGCGCTTTGGGAATTTGTGACTGATGGCTGTAGTGTTTCAGGGTATTGAGGGTGAGAAGAAGGGTCGAATGGTTATTGGTTGTGGAAGTGTTTTAAGACTTGGCCACGGAAACACCAAAACACTTCTTTCATTTTTTCCAAACAACATTGGTGCAAAACACTTCTTGCGAGCAAAAACACTAAACTCAAGCAACTTAACACGTTTTCTTTTGCCTCACCATCTCACCCAGGTGTGAACCACCTCTCACTCAGGTGGCGTCACCTACACGGCCTCCCCGCCGAGCTACGCCAACGGCACGAGCGCCCCGCTGGTGACGGTGCCGCCGTCGCTGCCGCAGCTGCCGGGGGCGGCCAAGGTCGTCCGTCCCTCAGTCCCCACACCTCCCGGTGTCGGTGCCACACCTTGGCAACACACGACGCGACGGTGTCCCCGTGTCGTTCCGGTAGACTGGGAGTCTGACCAGCCGTCTTAGATGGTGTGTTGCAACCTTTGCTATCAGCTATCTTCCTTCAAGCACAGGAAAGGCCAAGCTCCTTGCAGCTAGCACGCGCTTGGACCACACCAAACATCGCCTGTTTGAACAGACCTGCCTTGCGGGGGTTCGTCAACCTGGTTCATCAACCTGGAACCGTCCATCGGTCGGTCTGGTGGTGGTTGGGGTGTTCAGGTGACTCGAAGCCTTCCAACGGTGATGTCGCCCACCTCCCAAGTGACCTCGGCACCGAGCTATGGCTGAAGAAGACCAGAAGATGAGGACATGGGGGACATGGGGACAGGTTGGGAAGCAGCACTTTTTTGGGCGTTTTTTTGCCTTTTTCCAGGTCCGTGAGCCGATCTCTGCAGTGCACCTTCTTGCAGTGGTGGACGTGCAATGGAACAGCTGAGAAGCTTTGTTTTGCCACTGCCTGCCATGATAAAGTGTCACCACCATTGACACCCAAGTGAACAACTCCATCATCCCAAGGACGGGCATTTGAGGGGTATTTCTTTCTTCCTAAATTGCCATACTGTAAGAACATCTACCGGGAGAAGTGATGGACCTTTTGCGCAGGTCGGTCAGGATCTTGGCGACTCCAGACTCTGCGAGGATCCTGGTTTTACCGGTCGGGCTTTTCCTGGCCCGAAGGATCCTGGAGAGGGCACATCCAATTGTACTCTAAGAATCTCTACGACATGGCAGGAGGATCCGTCGGACACGATGGAACCTCATTTGTACTGATCAAGGAGCTGGCAGCTGGGTTGCTCTTTTTTTATCCATAATCCCAATGACCAGTTGGCTCCTTGGCTCCCACGTGGAGCTGCTCCAGCGTGGGTTTTCTGCCAAGTGCGCCACGAGGTCTCATGTTCCCGCGAGCGGACCTATGGTGACGGGCCTCAATGGCCTCAATGGCAACAAGCACTGGTTTACGGCTTCTCGGTTCGATCTAGAACCTAGTTCGCTCGGTTCGATCTAGTTCGCTGGTGGAGGGTTTTGGACTGTTGCTCCTGTCGACGCTTGTCCCTGGGAGTTTGGGGTCAGAGTTTCTTTCCTTCACCTCACACCGGCTCAGACTTGGCTTAGTTCTGCGGAGTGAGACTCCTCTCTGTTGGACTGAGCCGAGCGTCTCTAACGAACTTTTTGTATCTCCAAATGCAGTCCTGGCCTCCCCAACGAAAACGGGCTTCTTTCTACATTTCCTTCCCAAGAATACCGGCCCAGATGGGTTTCGGAATCTTTCTAAGAGATACCACCCAAAGCAGTGGTTTAAAGTTTAACCTTGCTTGAAAAGCTGGCGTGCGGCATGCGGATCAATAGTTTCAATATGTTGCAATATGTTGCAATCTGCATGTGATTGTTGTTTCTGAGAACAGCGTCTAAGTGGAGACCTGTCCCCCCAAAACACCAGTCCTCAGGAAAAATATGGGTTTTCAAGTTGATCTTCTCCTCGTGAATCTCGAGGATTGTTCGATCTTCGATCCCTTTCACCCATTTCGGACGAAGGACGAAGAATTCCGATCCCACCAGCTCCGCATCCCAGGTGGCCACGGAAAAGGTCTGGCCCGCGGCGTCCCGGCACATTTGCAAGTACCTGCTGAACAACTTCGACGATGCCACTGGGATCTTCCCGAAGAGGATGCGGAGATGAAATGCCTGGGATTTCTGTACAGTCTTTTTTGGTGGAGGTTTTGGTGCGGGGCTGTGGGGGAAGGCGTGGCTGGTCTAGAGGCAGCCCCTTCGAACAACTGAGACACTGGCTAATCACACACTCAAGATATTGCGTACTGAACGGAATGCCACATGCCACACGCCCACCTAGGTATGAACGCCTAAGAGGTCAGGTTAGAGGTATGTAAGGCGGTTTGACCGTGAACCTGAAAGAGTTCCAAGATGCGGTTTTCCAAGACTCCAAAGTTCAAAGGAATCTGAAAGTCCAGTTCGACAAGCAAGCTCCTATCGACGAATGCAGTAGCCCTTTAATGCGCATTTGCCGACCTCTGAAACCTCACCAGCCTGAGCTCTAGAGTGGGATATTACTCAACGCCACAAATTTCAGCAGGTACACAGGGCTGATCAGCCCTGCTTCCCACTCTCGTCCACAGCTTCGTTGCGTGTGGTAGGACGAGAGCGCCACACGCCCCTGCCAATTAAAAGTCAAAATAAGACATTGTAATACACTATCAAAGGATTCCCTGTGACTCCAAAGATTTCACATACACGCCTCCCACAAGGGGGAGGCGCGGAGGAACTAGGGTTAAGACGGGTGTGCATGTGTGCGCCCGGAACAGACAAACAGATGAGGACATGAAAGGAGGACAAGACAGACCGTTTGTATGTGGCTGCAATGAGAAGAATCCAAGTGACCAGGGGCAACCGATGAACCCAACCTCCTTGTAAAAACCTGGGCGACCTAAGTAAGACCTGGGGTTAAAGTGCGAGTGCACGCATACACTAAGGGCCGGACCAAGGTGTACGCAAAAGAGAGAAAGGATGAGGTGCCAAGACATGAAGACAGAAAGACATGAAACGAAGCAGGAAAAAGAAAGTGTGTAAGGGGGAGAGGATGAAAGCGGAACCAAATGGAGGGGCCGGAAACCAACGAAACCAGACCTCATTAGAGAAAACCTAGGTGGACCTGGCCTCGTTTGAACTGTACACGCTGTGTGTGCACCTAAGGTTGCGACAGGTCCCAGTGGACCTTGAAAAGCTTTGGCCGCTGCGACCACCTCGTGGCATAAAGCCTACTCTAGTCCGCTGTGGACACGTTTTGGCACAAGAGCTGCCCCACACGCCCACCTAGGTATGAACGCCTAAGAGGTCAGGTTAGAGGTATGTAAGGCGATTTGACCGTGAACCTGAAAGAGTTCCAAGATGCGGTTTTCCAAGACTCCAAAGTTCAGAAGAAAGGTACACAGGGCTGATCAGCCCTGCTTCCCACTCTCGTCCACGGCTTCCTTGCGTGTGGTAGGACGAGCGTGCCAAAGCCCCTGCTAATTAAAAGTCAAAAGAAGATAAAACATAATCGACTCCAATGGTTTCACACACTTAGATTGATGCTCGCAAGAGCTGAATCAGTTACGGCAGCCCACTCTAGTGAATACAATACCGGTGCAGAGATTAGACCTTGACTTGAATCAACTGCATGCTGGGTCGGAGAAAAGAATTGTTGGAACAGACGCATTGGCCCTTTAGGATATATTAAAAAGTTAGTGCAGGTACGTTTTCACCTCCCTGGCGCGCGGTCTTCGTTGGCCAGGACGCGCGCCAGGGAGTCCTGGCCCCCTGCATTGAGGTCTTTGAAAAATTGAGGTCTGTCTGAATTGTCGTGCATTGTTCGTGTCCTTCGAAACAGGAAGTGACACGCACACACACACACACAGGGCCGTAAGTCGGCGCTCGCTCTTTTTTGGCCGCGGGGAGGGGGGAAAACAGAGGGTGCGGGAGTGCATTGACTAAACGAGCCTGGACGCCAACCTAACAAGCCTGAAAGAAAGAACACGGCAAACGAAAAAGGTAAGGGAAGAAAGGAAAGGTGCAAGGGGTGCGGGGGTGTGGGCAGGGCGTGCGTTGACTAAACGAGCCTAAACGTCGACCTAACGAGCCTGAAGGGAAGCCGAAGCAAACGAAAAGGCAAGGAACGAAAGGTGCCACACCCCTCGAAAGGTGGGGGGTCCATGCCCGAAGGCGTTGATGAAAAGCTAGAGTCGGCCTCCATTACACCTAAAAAGCCTCTAGTAGAAGAGCTAGAAAACGAAGAGCAACAGCAGGAAAGAAAGAACAAAAAGTGACTACTTAGCAGCATGACATGTGAATACTTAGCTGCGTGATGTAAGCCGTGCTGGAATTTGATCTCAGTAAGCCCTGCGATGTATGGTCGGCGCTTTCGAGCAGAACGATGGATCGAGTAAGGTTCACGATGGAAGGATCAAGTGCAAGACCGTGGATCAGGGAAGGGGCACCCTTGAGGGCATGTGCACACGCGGCACCCCTTGCTCGGGATCACACCACAGCCCCCACTGGGCTCTGTGGCAAAACACACTTAGATTGATGCTCGCAAGAGCTGAATCAGTTACGGCAGCCCACTCTAGTGAATACAATACCGGTGCAGAGATTAGACCTTGACTTGAATCAACTGCAAGAATGCTGGGTCGGAGAAAAGAATTGTTGGAACAGACGCATTGGCCCTTTAGGATATATTAAAAAGTTAGTGCAGGTACGTTTTCACCTCCCTGGCGCGCGGTCTTCGTTGGCCAGGACGCGCGCCAGGGAGTCCTGGCCCCCTGCATTGAGGTTTTTCAAAAATTGAGGTCTGTCAAGAGTAAAAAATTGTCGTGCATTGTTCGTGTCCTTCGAAGCAGGAAGTGACTCACACACACACACACCTCTTGGGGAGCTACTCCGCGACTCGGGAGCACCAACCTCATTTTTGTCGTTTTCTCAAGGAATGCAAATGGCTCACTGATCCGCACTGGTCCACATCTGTTGTCTTGTAACTCGCTCCCAGAAGGTTGGCAAAGCACTCCAAAGCCCAGCTCACCAGCAGCTCATTGGAGAAATAGTATTTGGCTTGGGCAATCAAATGATGGAATGATTAGCCTTACAACCCAGACTTTCACTGTTGGCAAAAACTCCCTGTCACACTCGATTGAAAGGGCCCTTAGTGGGATTGGGTCGACACCCACCGCCACCCTTCGCTGAACCATCGTTCCTTCGGTCCGTTTGGCACCTATCGCGACTCGCCATACCGAACCTCGAGCGCTCCCACCGCGCCGCCGAGCGCGGTGGGAGGGGATGAGACGCCGATGGCTCCTCAGGGACACTTCTCCGAACAGAAGCTGGATGAGATGTCGAAGGCTTGGATGAGAAGATCGGATGTTTGTGTTGTATCGTTTTTTCGGGAAGGATCTGCCAGGATCCACTCGAGTGGTCGTCGCCGGTGGTGGAAAGGTCACGAGAAATCGTCGCACCCCCCGAAGTGGGTCTTGAATGCGGATTTGTCTCGGAAAAATCCCAGCGAAGCGTGGGACTTGAGGTTTGTCTGTCCGGTGTCGGTGATTGTTTCGTGGCACATTTTCCGGTGCAGTGTGTTAATTAGCTCAAATGGTCTTAGAGCCACGAGTCCAAAAAAGGATGGCCCAGAAAAAGAGTTGGGGAGGTTTTGGGTTTGATGTCCAGGTCTCTGCCTGTCAAGCACCAGAATAAGAGATGGAACATCACCGTTTATTGCACTCCTTCAATAATCAGTAGTAGAACGTCACCCTTTGTTTGGTCTTCGGATTTCATGAGTCATGCGAAAAAAAGGGCCCATTTGTCCTACCCGCGTCTCCTTCTGCCCACCGCCAGACGATGTCCAGCATGCCTCCACGAGTGCCGCTTACCGCGGAGTGGATCAACTTCATACTGAAGCAAGTCTGGGAGGTGCGGCTGCGGAGAAAAGAACAGCTGAAAATCCAGCGCTTCGGTCGCCCCAGCACTTCCTGTGAAAGTGGGAAATACTACATATCATAATATTATAGATAGATGGATGGATGGATAGATAGATAGATAGACAGATAGACAGACAGACAGACAGACAGACAGATAGACAGATAGACAGATAGATAGACAGATAGACAGATAGACAGATAGACAGATAGACAGATAGACAGATAGACAGATAGGCAGAGAGGGAGAGAGAGAGAGAGAGACAGACGGACAGACGGACGGACGGACGGACGGACCGACGGACGGACGGACAGACAGACGGACAGACAGACAGACAGATAGATAGATACTAAACACCGCGGTAAAATAAAACCGTTCAGTTGAGTTGCTTGTGTGTCTCCAGTTTTTGGTGCACGAGTTTCACCACGACTTCGTTTTCTGAGCTCTTCGTCGCCGACCCGCGCCACGCGCGACGCAGGTGGTGCAGCCCAGCGTGTCCAAGGCCGTGAAGGCGGAAGATCGCAGGGCGGGGCGGAAGCGACGATGGTGGAAGTGGAGTGTGGTGTTTTTGAGATGCTACATGTTTATTTTTTTCGGGTATTGTGTTGACACTACCCGAAATTTGTCATGATCTGCATCGTTCAGATACGAAACGGCAAATGTGAGCTCAGGAATTGAGACTCATGAGAGTGTGTGTGTGTGTGTGTGTGGGGAGAGATTGCTCTACACTCCCTCCAAGTTGATGCTTGTAGGTGGCTGAATGGAACCCCCATCAAGTTTGGTCCACTTCCCTACCCAGACATCTTCTGGACACCTGCACAGCTTGGCCTTCGGGCCGTCCCGACCGGTCGTTCCGATGGCGGGTTCCAACGACGTTGACCGACGGCAGGAGATGTTGAAGCCCAAGCTGCACAACGCCTTGAGCATGGTGGCGCCCATCGACATCGATCCCTGCCTGCTGGGAGATGAGCCCCCACAGATGGACGAGGCGCGGAGGTTGGTTGGGTGGGTGGGAAGCTGACCGAAAAGGCTCCCAACCAGCACCAGGAGCGGCAAGGAAGGTTTGACAGCTGATTGGTGAACATCTAGAAAATAGGTACCGTACATGTGATGTGTATGATATACAAAAAGTATATCCTGCAACCTGCAACGATGTTACATAGAGCTGCCTCTACTGCAGCTGAACAGATCCTGCCCAGCAGGGAACATAACAGAGAAGCGCATGTTACATGGCTTCGGTGTTTTTTTTCCCCCCTGGTCTCTGTCTAGTTACTATATATAGTTGAAGGTACGATTTTGGAGTGTCGGGCTGCTAGTCAGGCTTTTGGGCCGCTTTGGTCCATTACCCCCATCCAAATCTTTAGTGACCCAGCTTCTGGCCCGTGCCAGATCGAGCTGTTGCCTGATCAAGGCTCGTGGAAATGACTGGCGGGGGTGAGGCAGTTGGAATTTGCTCGGGACTCTGCAGGTCTGCCAGGTCTCCAAGTAGTGGTTGACCGTACACCTCTTAACTTCAATGCGTTGAACTTCATGGGAACAAAACAAATCCACAAGAGTTGGCCAGCCAACGGTAATTACTTCCTTAGGACTCAATGGCACGCCACTGGGTCTCATTGAGCTTGTCTACTAGGGCTTGATGAGCCGCTGCTCGCAATTCTGAGATTTTTTGAACACCAGCAACCTGGCCATATAGCCAGCTTGCCAAGTCTATGCTGGGGACATAAGGAGGGGAAGCCAAGTGCGCACTGAGTGCGCACGCGGGGCTGGACGGTCCCGTCCAGCGGTCGGAGGCTTGGGGAACTGGATGGACTTGAAGATCCATTTTTTTTGGCACTCGGAACCCGACATCACCGTGTCCTGCGCCTTGGACGAACCAGGGAGGTGGCTGGAGGTGGCTGGAGTCATGGCGGGGCCAACGGGAAGAGAACTGGTAGACTGGGCGGAGCTGCGAACCCGACCAGGCCATCCCGAGGAAGAAGAACTTGTAACTGCGAAGATCTGGACAAACTGCGAAGATCTGAACTGGAACAAGGATGCAAGCATTTGAGTTTTACAGTACTTGCTCCAACCATTCACGTGACCGGGTTGAACAGCAGGAGCTTCTTTTGCACCAACCTTCCAAATTCCAACATCCATCTTTTTGTTTCGCGTGGTTTGTACCATCCTTCCCCCCCATGGTCGATGGTCGTGAAACGACCTCCGCCCTGTCCTGCGTCCTCCGTCCTTCCACGAGGTAAGCTGGGCAGTGTGGCTCTGCCGAAGCTGAAAGTGGGCTTCACGATGTACCTGGGTCTTCAGGGCGAGGAGCGCTCCGCGCGGCGCTCCCCCGCGCCGAGTCGTGCGGTTTGGGACGTGGCGGGTTGCGGACGTGGCGGGTTGCGGAGCGTCGACCGCGTAGACTCGTGGTTCGCGTAGACTTGGGGCCGTTGGCGAGGGGGTGTGAAGCCCACAGTCGACTTCTGGGAGCGAATTGGCCGTCCATGGTCGACTAGATGGAGGTGACCAATGGTGACGAAGGAGTGTCTCTAGGAGCATCGAGGGTGAGGGGGTTGGCCTGTCCATCCGTTGGGATTTGATGTTTAGATCGCTTGCACGTCGGCGATCAGTTCATCGGCATGGCCCGAGCAGGCCGACGAGCCGCCCTTTTTCAATGCTGCCGTGCTCTACATGGGCAATGGCTTTATGCATGCCCGTGATGTGCTCGGCACGGTTCAGGCAGATGTGGTGGGGAGGGGGGCAAGGAAGATGGGCGACCAACCCAAGAGGCTCTGATGTGTAGGAAGACTGCGAGCCACTGAAAGATGGTCTTCTCAGATCAGTCTCGTCGTGTCTTTGGTCGCACGAGCGCCCCCACCTGGTAGGCCTCAAAAAGGGGTAGCTGATGTGGACACTTTGGCAGTTCTGCTTCAACACTGCGAAACCTTTGGACCCAACCTACACCTCCTCCTCCTTCACCCTATGTGTGCAGAATTGAAAGAAGCAGACCACGCGTTGTCCCGCCTCCGTCGGTTCCCTGATTCACTTCTTCTTGCACCAACCACGCCCCAACTTCCTCCACCGCCCGTCTTTCCGCCACGGCCGTCGGCGAGAAGTCCGCCACGAGGAACGGCAAGATCCCTATATTGGGATGACCTTCGGAGATGCCTGGCGACTTGGACCTGGAGATGTGAGGGTTTCGTCCTCCACATCGGGTCCAGTGCTCGGGTCCAGAGCGCTGAGTTCAGTAGACGCATGCTTGGGCTCATGTATTCACCTACCCACAGGCTGTTGCAGAGGTTCCAGTGAAAGTCAATAGTCATCTTCCACTTGGAACGGAACTTCAGCGAGCTGGTGGAACGTGATCCCTCAGAGTCGAGAGGCCCCGGAGGCACGGAGGCCCCGGACCATCTCCGAAAGATGTAAACCGATTCAGCACTGAGAGGTTCGACAGGGAAATCTGAAGAGATCACGGCTGAAGGGTCACAGCCTTCGATTTCCCACAAGGTGGGTGAAAACTCCCCACAGGTTGGTGGATGAATTGGCCAAGAAACAGCCGCCATGATGAGGATCCGATCACCACGTTCTTCGATTTGTTGCTCCACCACGTCGTCCTCCGTCCGTCGTTGACTTCTCCAATGTCGGTCGTCCTTTAAAGTCCTTCGTGCACGTGTTCTATTGCGACGAAGGATGCCCCGGAATCAGCGGCTGTTTCAGACTATCACGGACCTACTCTGATGACTCTGTGGGTCTGATGATGGTTGCCAGCAGTTTCTGAGGCGTCCTCCGCTTCCAAGCAACAGACGGGTCATGTCTATATAATCGCTTTTTCCTCTTCCAGGGGGGTAGTAGTTGATTCGCGCGGTGCTCGTCTCGCTCTGTGAACGGTCAGGGCTGGCTTCAGCGTGAGCTTTGTTCCTGGGCATGGATGGCGTTGGTGGGAGACAAGAAATCGTGCTGGCGGAACTGGTTGAGCACCGGATGGCATGGATTTTTCCGAGGAGTATATTCCGTGACATGTTTGTTGCCCTTTTGTGTCAGAGAATGGGCGTGTAGCTCAAGTAGGGTAGCGCTGCCCAGCTGCCAACATCTCTTAAACCTGCTTGGAACATGGTTTTTGAATTAGATACAAAAGGCTGCACTTGTAGGAGGATCCAGGATAGCCAAGGGCAGCCATGGTCAGGTACTGTATGTTTGTTTTACACTTGGGGAGTTTCTTTGGAGATTGGTCCTGGTATTCTATTTACGTAATTTGAAAGAAGGCTGAGGGTGCTTTGGCAGGGGGTCCAGGAGAACTCTTACGAAATCCTTTTCGGGCGGTGAGACTGAGTTCGGGGTTTGTTTGAGTGCACATCAATGAAAAAAAGTGGGGTGAATTGAGAACGCTTCGTCGATCAGTCGAACTATGGTAATCACTTCTTCAGAGGTGACAAATTCATTGATCTCAACAGAGATCCAATCCTTCGCGTTCTCAACAGCAGTTGCAGCGTGATTTCTTGGGCCAACGGCAACCTGTGTGATTCCGAGGTGTCCGGAATGGGAGTGGGATGGGGATGGGAAAGCTCCATTTCAGGTGGAAGACGCCGTGGTGTCAGCCCTGAACAGCCACCTGTCCTGGAGTTGTGCGTTCGGAAAAAGACACGGGACACGGGTTTCAGAAGGATATATATGGAATGTTACGGTGAAGTTTGAAGTCCTTTAGAAACCAAAGTTATCTTCGAACCGACGGGGGGGAAGGAAAATGGTTACGTGGTTGTCGAACCCACCCTGGATGAGGACGTTGGACGCTTGTGAAGCAGACAGGACTTGCCGACTTGCAGATGAGCGATACTGACCCATCAAACCCTTGGGGGGTTGGCAACTAGATGGACCAGGCAGAAGGTCTGGCAGATGGACCATGGGCTCTCGCAAGAGGCGTCATCGTGCCCAAGCTGGTCTTGCCGCAAAGCCTCTGGGTGGCACACGGGGGCACGGGGAACCTGGAGAAAGGACCTGACACTTTGAAAGCAGAGATGGCAGTGACCTCAAGTTCCGCCGAGTGAAGCGCATCAGATGTGTCATAGGTTCAGCCAGCATGGGTTCTGGTACCTATGGTAGTTGTATCATAGATGGCCTTTTACTATTAGTTGGTTGATTAATGGAGAGGATCCCCCGAAGTGTGCAATGGGTAATGGTACCAAACCGACCCCTCTAGTCTTCCCAAGTACGGACATCACTGAGTTGTACCATGTTGTACCCATTTGAAAGGTGAAGGCTTTGTCTTCCTCTGTGACACCTGCTGTTTCAGCTGCGCATTCAGCTGCTTTCTGCTGCAGAAACGGCCCCAGGAATGGTGGTCCATGCCAGCCATGGCATCGTCCCCTTTGACCTCCTGCCGCTCGACCGACACCGACCGAACGCTCTGAAAAACGACGCCGGGGTACTGCTCTGAGCGGAGCTCTTGGCTTCTTTTTGGGAGATCTCAAGAGAGGCTTGAGAGACTTGTAGATTTACCAAGTTGATCAGTGATCTTCCCAGGTTTGGTGATCTCCTCGGGCTTGGTGTGAACATTTGGCTGATTCACATGGAGATTTCTTAGAGGCCTGCCTCAACCACTGGGCCAAGGGCCAAGCAAAGATTTCTGAGTTCGTGTCCCATCCTTCGAAAGTGGCAAAGGGACATGTCCAAGGATTCCGTCATGACTTCGCTGCGACTCGTGGACTTGTTCTGTTTCCTTTTTCTGGTTCTGGGATGTCCAGTGGAATTTCCAGATGTGAGGTGCAGTGAACTCGTTTCCCTTCGGAACTCGTTAGCCCGCCTCCGGACGCCCGCAGCGAATCGGATCCGGCGGCCTGGTTGAGTGAGGCTCCGAAAGGACAGACTGAGGCCATAGGTTTTTTCCATGAAAGAGTTCCCATGCAAAGACGCCCCCTTGCGTCGAAGCCATCGGCTTCCGTGGTTCCCTCCCTCCAAATCGGAGTCGATCATAGACCTGTACTTGTTTGCTTGGAACGCACATGTAATGTAAATTTCTTGAATGGACTGTGGCAGGAGTTCGATTCTGGCAGTAGGGGGTCGCGAAGCAAGTGAGAAGCTCTTCGATGTGCCAGCAAGAACTTCCCCATTCAGCCACGACTGAGGATGCCAAAGCCCCGTGGTTGCCTGCAAATCACTGTTAAAGGCTGGTAGGGCCGATGCGATTGTTTGGGAGCCATAGCACAATTCGACCAGGACTCTTGTCATTCTTTCTGAAATCCTTGCTTCATGGATCTTCCATGGATCTTCCTTGGGGTGTCCCATTACCCGTAACAGTCGGTGAAGATACGAACCTCGCTATTTTCAAGATGGCCTGCAACTGAACCATCATCCACTCAAACCTGGTCATGGGTTTATACCCAAGGTGTTCCCTTTTCATTCTTATTGCGTGTTTTTAGACAAGGTCTTCCTCGAACCAAAAAGAACACGGCGCCCCTCGCGGCGCCCCGGAACTCGTGGACGCCGCCTCGAGGCGGCGTCCGATTCCCCGAGCTGCTCCGATCGCAAGGGGTCACGGGCCTGGTTGGAACCGAGTGGAAGCTGCAGAGCTTGTTGACTGGCTCCCGCTCGAACGATCCGCACCTGAGCTGCGAGCTGAGCTGAGGTTGAAGTGAGGAGTCACCCGTGGAGTTTGGTGGTTGGATTCCAGGAAGGGTGAATCACCTGCCAAAGCTTCGCTCGGGAATTGGTCTCTCCACTGAAACGAACAGGTGGAGAGATCCATCACCTTCCCCTGCAAGTTCAGTTCTGACCCGGTAGAACCTGGCCCTTTGCCTCCTTGAGTGGTGTTTTTTGTATGACTCCAGCAAAAGGAGCTTTTTGACCTGTAGGGTTCCCAGGCATTTCTGGCATTTCCGGCGAGTCAGAAACTCCCTTCGGCGTGAGGGAGCTGCGAGCTGGTTGCAGGGTGAAGGCTGGGAAGGTGGGCTACTCCACTGAGCCGCCACGGAATGGTCCCAAAGGGTCCACCGCCCACCATCCACGGACCCAAAAAGGTATGTGATGGTGGACCTGGCCGGAGAGCTGAGCAACACCAACCGCACCTTGAGGAGCAGCAAGCGCATCTGGCTCTTTTCCCGTTACTTTTTTGTTTGTTTTGTTTGTGCTTTCAGGAGGGTTGCACCATGTTGCACACGCCGAGTCGTCGTCTGGCAGTTCCTTTTCTGCGACATTCTTCTTGCGCCTGCAAGGACCCCCACCTGTTACAATGAACTGAATCCCACTTGGGATGATCAAAACAGCTTCTTCTTCGCCCGGAATCTCAGAAAGCCGTGGTGACGTGCTTGATGTTCGATGGCAGTGGGACCAGACTTATAAGGCCTCCAGTATGGAGTCTAGTTGGTGGAGTGAATGTGGTCTACCATTCAATAGGCAATTGGATGACCAAGTGCGTGTTGGTATTGGCAGATCTTTGCACTGTGTTGTCCTGAAATTTGTCCCTCGAGTACACGTGCTTTTCGGCATCATGCGAATGAGAAGGAAGCGCTTACTGGAGGAGGATCCTGTTGCGTTTCGGGCTACAGCACTTGCAAGACCCGCCCCCAACCCGATCCGCCCTTCGCTCGCCCGCTCGCAGCGGCTGGTGTTTGGGTGTTGTGTCGGTCTGCGTGAGGTGATTGATTCAGTGACACTTGGCATTTTCTGGACGGGGCAGGGCCGGGCAGGGAAGCAGAAACCAGTCACAAGACTCCATGTTGGATCTGACCTGCAGAAGTGGGGTCGTGGTTGAACAGCACACTTGTGGCCTTCCAGAAGTCTGGACTCCTTCAAGGTCTCCTCCAAGGTCTATGCAGCATATGCACGTGGAAGTTTGTTGAGGATCTGTGTGGGTGAGCAGAACGGACCGTGGATCTGGCTGCTTTTGAGGGGCTTCTGTGGGTTTTACCAACTCAAGAACATCCGGCACAAGACCATGGCTTCGCGGCGGGGCCTTCCTCGTGGCAGGGGGGTGCCCATCTTCTGAGTGTACAGGTCTTTGACACCGGTCTGGCGGCGAGGCGTTTGCAACACTTCAACTTCCGCGTCTTCGATGATGGGCTGCTCCAGATGTTCCGCGAGCAGCAGATAGGCTGCGGGATGGCGGAGCTCCTCATGACCGGAAGAGGGGGAACTTGAATGAAAGGGTCCTCAATGGAGGGGCGGATGCCAACGACCCTCGCTGCATCAGGCATGGCCAGTCAGGAAGATTTGATGGCCCGGCGGCTGGGTCTCAGCCCCTTGGCCAGCTGCGGGGCCCGGGCGTCGCACGGGGCGCGTTGCGCGCGCTGGGACAGAGAGGAAAAGGGCTGTGACTCAAAACCAGGATACCTTGGTTAATAGGTCGTTCGCTACATGGACTGGTCGGGCGAACTGGGTCACGACCCATTGTCCGAAGGGTCCCCAAGCCAGTGGGGAACCCCGCGCTGTCCGAAGGTGTGATGGAACTCTTTGGCATCAGCGGCATGGACTTCTTCGCTGCCCGGCTGAAAAGAGTTTCTTTCGTCGCAACCCGAAGAGCTAACAAGACTCCTCCCAAGCAAAGGACACGGCCGCCAATGACAGACTGGGTGCTTAGTAGGGAATGTCCACTTTTGAGTTATTTTGGTATCCAGCCACCCTCTTTCTGTACGAGTTGCACCAGTCAGATGAGGCATTAGGCTGGGTCAAACCCAGGATACCTTGACCTCCGTGTGGGTCGTTGAACGACCCATCCCCATTCGAGCTAAGCTGTTGATGTTGCTATGGAGCACTCCGAGTTTGCTCCGGGTGCCATCGATGTGTTGGATCGACCTCGGACCACCGGTTCGGGTTTGGAATGCCAAACCAACGAGTGCAGCCATGATGCACCTCGAAACCAATCGGCCGCGGAAGTGGACCGGACCATGATGTCCACCGCTTCGCGAAGGCGAGCCGAGAGGCCGGTGCCAAGAGGACCAGGGCGAACGCACCAACGATCGTCTTAAAATGTCTTCAACATGTTGGGTCTCGCCGCTAGACCTGACGCAGGACACGCACCATGGTTTGGTGGACACCCCCCATGCGTGACTCTGTTGCGCTGTTGCCTTAGGAGACAGTGTTCCCAGGGGCCATGCATTCGAGTTCCGTGATGGTTAGGAGCAGATCATATGGTCCGTTTAAACGACTGACCACCCCATCCGATGCATCTGCCAAAACCCGCATTGGTGACACATCCAGTTGCTTCATGGGTGCAATCCGATCCCCGTCTTGCTATCTACATCCGATCTACTCCTGTCCCCACCTGCTGGCGCTCTAAGGATCGAGAACAGCAGGTGGATCAGACCTGCTCGTTGGACATGATGTGGCCAGGCCGGGCTGACCATGGGGCCGGGTCATGGGGCCGGGTCATGGGGCCATGGTGACCTGCTCAGAGGACGTGTTGCCAGCAGGGTGGTTTTTGATCTTTTTGGGTGAAGTGGTGATTGACTTCGGGCGGGTGAGACCTCCAGTGGGTCTTTTGACTTTGGGGGAACCTCCCAAAAGTGGCCGAAGCAGTTGGGAATCATCCTGCGAAAGCCACCAATCAAATACGTGTAGAACACGGGAATCACCTAAGTGTTGAATTGCCCATCCCTACGGCTTTCTTGACATCTGGCGGGCCGTTGCATCTCAAGCAGGCAAGGAGGAGCATGAGGAGCTGCGAAATGCGCAGGCCAACGTACACCTCAGCCGGGGACCCTGGGTGCGAGTTCATCATGTGGCTCACCTTGTAGAGGAGCGAGCCTCTCCAAAACAAAAACAACACCGGTGGGGCAAAGAAGGCTTTGAAGCCCGAAGGACAAATGGTACCAGCCAAACGACCACAACACTTTGAAGCATTCCAATTGGGAACCACAAACCGACCCGGACCGACCCGCACCCAGAGGTTGCTTCAAGCTGCGTTCCGAGTGCTGTCTGGGCCAGTCTGGATCTCACCGAGCAGTGAATAAGACCAGTGTATTGGGCCCTCTTATTTCGTCCAGCGCTCCAGAGACTAGATGCAAGTGATGTATCAAGCCGAAGTTTGCCGGCACCAAACGGTACCAAAAGGTACCAAAAGCCTGAGACACTAAGCCTGAGCTGCAGCTACAGTTCCTGTCTGGAACATCGATGTGTCGAGGTTTGCAGTTCTTGTCTGGTTGCAACGGGTTTCATGTTTCATCTCTTTGGGCGCCTGAGACCCCAAGTCCCTGCGGACATCGCTCCTGGGATCTGTTGTTAGGGTGGCACGCCGGAGCCGACGGCTTTTTTGGGCCCACGCTCATTGAAGAGGAAAGCCAAAGCCCTTCTTTTCTAGGTTTGACTTTAGCGCCCACACCGCACGCGGTGGTTGAGTTTGTCTCTATGAATTTGAAGGATTCCCCAATGAATCCCAGCCACTAGATCACAAAACATGTGGCCCCAAACCGGTTGATCTACCGTCTCCGTATTTAGACTACAAAAACCTACAAGAGTGGATTGCCTTGATTTGCTTTGACAAAAGATACGATATCTATATATATATATATATACTGACTCCTAAAAACAGATTAACTATATAAGATATCACACCGCTTTTTGGGACATCTTCGCACCAGAAACACCATGATTCCCACGGTGCTTGCAATGATGCTATGCTCTTCCATGTCCCACACAGTCGTCGCCCGAGAACCAGAAACCGGTCTCCGATCACCGGTCCTCGTGGAAGGGACGGTGCTGGGGCCACCAGGTCTCCATTGGCGGCCCATTGTCTACAGCCATCCCTCAATGCTACCCTCGGAGCGGAGGGAGATGGGACACAGGTGGAGACGTGGCCAGGGGTGAAGATCTGAGTGGGGAACTGAGTGGGGATTCGGCACCAGCATCGGAACCACTTCACGGGTCACCAGTTGAGACTTCCTTGTTGGCCCTTGCCAACCCTAGAGGAGACCTGTTGCAGGATGCTGGTATCTTCTCCACTTTGCTGGGGATTGCTTTTCACCGCTCCCTTCTGGAACACCCCCTGCGTTCTGGGGTTTCTTCAATTCGCCCGCCCGGGAGTCCGGGTTCAACCGAACTTTTTCCCGGTTCCGACGAAGGGATTGACCGTGCGACGCGTCTCCGCGCGGAGCAGACGCAGGAGATCTTCATGGAGGACGACGAGCCGGAGCCCGTGTGGCCGCACTTCGTGCTGCGGGTCTGCTTCCGCACGCTGGAGATGCGGAAGTTCAGCGGAAAGCAAACGGATCAGCGCCTATGCCGCGCCATGCGTGATGCGTTGGGGGACGGATTGAAAGGGACGGGTGGGATTCGGTGGAGTTTGGATTGGTCTTGAAATGATAGGTTTCATCCTATTTATCTAATCCTAAACAACTTTGAAGTGGCATATTAAAATATTTTCATTTGCAGTGAATCTACTAGGGACTCCGCTTCTTGATTTGGAGGAGGGTATATCCGGGAAGTGTTTTGTGGATTGGATGTTTGACTTGAACACACTTCAGTCGCCCAAGTTACCAGGCTTCCAGTCGCCCAAGACTCGTCGCTCGTTCGTTGGGTGCTTCGGCGTCTTTCCCACGCCTGGGCCGTGCTTGACTCGTCACCGGCACACCGACTTCCTCCGTTCGGAACTGCTGGTATACTAAGGTTCTTCATCAAGGCCACGGTGATGCCAGGCTTCGACTACGCGGGCAGCCATCATGATGAGCCCAAGGACCAGAGAGACCCTCCCCCGATCGGGTCTGTTTTCCGCTAAAACCTAAAAAATTGAGACCCCAGACCCCTCGATATGAGGGTCCGACCCCTCCATATGAGGGTCCGACCGAGCGTCTGGGTGGAAGAACACCCTCCAAGTCACCCTTTCAGCACTTCCAACCGACCAGGACGGAGTCTCCGAGGTGGTCTCGAAGAAGGTCTATCCACAGCACCAGCAGAATGAGCCGCTGAGCTGCAAAAGAGGTCGTCCGGAGGGAGGGCGCCGAAGGGACCCACAAAGCATACATAGGCAAAACCACTCCCTGAAAGCATCATGGAAGTGGACATCCAGCTGTTTTGTAAAAGGGAAATGGTCATCCAAGGAGCCATGCCATCCACTTCCGTGATGATTTCAGAGGGCGCAGTCTGGCAAAAGCAAGAGGTCGCTTCTGGACCCACAGGTGTCTGGAAACATACACACATCAACGATTTTGAGTGCGATGATGGGAGCCCATTGGAAAGGACATTTTGACCCAGATGACTTGCTAAATCCAACCCTGGATGTGAGCCAACCGTCCAAGTGTCGAGTGTCACGGTCAGACCCAATGTAAAGGAGCCGAGAGGCAAACTACGACATTTTCTAAGATGACCTGACAAATCCTGAACATTTAGATACAGATCTGCCTGGATCATTTCTCTCGACTGGATTTTCATGACAAAGACCCAAGTTTTGTCACTGACCTGGCAGAGGAAAAGTCGTCTTCAACTCTACGAAATTTATTCACCATGAATTTGAGGATAGGAGGATAGGCCCGTAAAATATCAGTCACAAGGAGCATGGTGCCTTTCAGAGGATCTTCGAAGTCACTTTAAGATCCTCCACCCACCTGCCAATGGTATGTGGATTTCCTGTGACCTGCCCCCCCACCAAGGTCTTCCATACTTCCATGGTGCGATTTCGACCCTTTTTTCTTGGAAAAGACGGGTCCGTTTCCCCTTCTTTCACGTTCGACGGGGTGCGATCCATGGGAGGAAGGTTAGGGGTGCCCAACTCCATGTGACCCTAGGATCCTGACCCTTCTTTTTTGACCTGTCCTAACCTACGTGCTCCGAATTCACCTGCCGATCAACCCCCCGAGTCGACCGACGAACCCGTGCTCCGAGTGCCGAGTCAGCGCGCGCAACGTGTTTGTGCCGACTGAGGGACAGGGCTGAAATGGTGAGCAGGAGGGGAGCTGGGTTGACCACTGAGACATGTGGGGGATGTACAATGTAGCTGTGAGCGGCCGGAACTTAAGGCATGTTGAGGTGAGCTTGACTTGACTGATGATACATTCCCTTGTCTCAAGTTCTGAATCACAACCTTTGAGATAGCAAGGCAACTAAGTCTCGTCACACTGACACGATGCACGGCTTGAAAACATGATGACATGCGCTCAAAACATTGGATAAAGCAGTTCAAAGAACATTTGCCAGGATGACGGGTGGACGGATGGGACGTGCTTGCCGGGTGGCATCTTGGCATGTTCTCCGGAGTGGGGGGGGCCCCTGTCTCACCAATCCATTTGCTTGGAAAGCCATCGGCGGCCAGTCGGCGAAAGAAGTCAATGTTTTTTTGTGTGGCCATTCGTGCCAAAGACCACCCTGCCGGTTGGTGTTAGATGGGTTGGTGAAGAGGGGTTTCTATTTCAACTAAACGGTCACGGTTGTAGGTCGTGACTTTCTTGGGACACTCGCGTCCTGACCTTCGGCCTTGCTTTCGACAGAACCCACCGGAGAGGCCTGAGATGCCCAAAGCGCCCCACGCGGTGGAGGGGGGGTCCGGCCCAGGCCACCTTTGACCAGGCCTTCCGCTTTATGGTCCGTGACCCCAGAGCCACCAAGGCGCGAGGTGGCCCCAAGTTGGTTCCGGTGACTGGACCAGTCCACGAAAAAAAGACGGGTCACGAGACAAGAGTTCGATCCACTGCCCGGCCGGTGGATTTTGGGACTGCAGATCTTCCGCATGTCGGACGAACGAATTCGGGCGTCCTGCAGATCCACCTGTCCTTCAACTCCGTGGCCGACTTCGACAAGACCGACGTCCATGAGCTAGGCCAAGAATGCTGCTACGACCTGCCGGCCGCGAAAAACGCGTGAGGAGGAGACGTTCAGTAGTGGCACCGTTTTCTCATGTCGGAGATGGAGCCTGAGCCTGAACATGGACCATTGGACACGTTGGAAGTCTGAAAAGGACTTTCCTTATAGTAGGGCCCACCGCGGGTCCACCATTTCTCCTTTTCTGACGAGGAGCCCAATTTCAACGACTGCAAATGTCAACGAGGGCACCAAACAAACTGCTTTCCGTTGCCTGCAGGTGAGATGACGCTGGACGTGAATTCCTTGTTGAGAGAGAAGGACCTGGCCAGGGACATCAAAGATGAGGTGCGAGGTGTCGCCTGCGATGTCACAGGGATGTCGCGGATGTTCCGGGCACAACCTGTTCTGAAACCATCAAGGTCCTTGAGCTTCTCCTCCATCCAAAGCACCTAGAGCAGGCGATCTTCGGTTGGGACACCGACTTCCTGTATCTCTCAAAACACCTCGAACACCTGGCGCACATGGTCGGCTTGCCGGGTGCCGATGGGATGCACTTGAGACCCGTTGGTGTTGGAAACACCACGAAAAACGGACACCAACGACACCCTGGCAGTCCACTCGAATTGGTCTTTACTTGGCAATCAATTGGTCTTAAATAGTGACAAAGAACCGGACTTCCAATTTGATGACCTCCATTGCAGGAACTTCTAGACTACTTCAGTTGGGGATATCACATATATTCTAAATGCTTTCGAATCTGGTCAGATGTGTTTGAGACTTGAAGACCTTTCAAGATGGCAATCTGTTGAGGAATCACTTGTTTGACTCCATGGGATTGCTTGACTTGCTGTGGATTCGGTTGATGACCGGAAGCTTCCAACGTGGTTGGCGAAAAAACATGAATTTGCAGTAGGAGGACCAAACTGGTAGCCATAAACGTCTTTCCCCAAAACTACTTCAAATACAGTGGGTCCTGGGCCTGGGCTTGGTGTTGATTTCTAGCGCCGCGCGCTACTGTAGGAGCTGGACAACTGGGAAGGTGGCGAGGTGCCAGCGCGCTTCAGCGGACATGTGCAGCTCTTCCAACTGCACAACGTGAACAACAAGCAGGTCGGAGATGGCTCTACTGCTCCTGACTTGGATGGTTTGGGTGTTGTTTCATGTTGTTTCTATTCTATGCGTTTGCATTTGGTCTGGTTGGCCTTGATTCTTTGCAATTGAATATTCATTCAGTTTTTGTGTTCTATATTTTTGGGTATTGCGTCTTTGCTTGTTCTTTTGCATCTATAGTTATAGTTGTTTGATCTGTCCAGTTCGACCCGGCAACCCTGGGTCGGGCTTGCTCCGGCCGGTGACCCCGGGATCTGCTCTGGTCGGAGCCAGAGCCCCCCCACTGGGATCGCCAGAGTTTCGGGGGAAAGAAGGGGTTTACTTGGTCCGGAACCGGACCACCAATCCAAGGTCGATGTGCACGGTGACTTAGGAGTTTCTCCTTTTCCTGACCCCCATATAGGGCATATCTGAAATCCCACGACGTGCGAGTTAAAAGAAGATCGACATCGGGTTGGTTGTGTCTCTGCTCACTGGTTGGCGCCACGGACAAAAGCGCGAACCCACGCTCGGCTTCGGTTTTGGTCGACGCCTGATCCGTTCCCGTCGCGAGGCAGTGGCACAAACGAAGGCCCAACAGGCCTCCATGAACAAGGAGATCGCCTTGAGAGAAGCCCAACAACTGGCCTCTTGGAAACAAATCGATGTTCTGAGGTTGATCACAAAGAACTTGCTTTGTCACTTGGACCACGTGGCAGATGTTTGGTGCTCACAAAGCTTCCAAATTTCACCTGTCAGTGGCGAAGATGACAAAGATTGCATGCGGACCAACCGTGCAGCTTGGCCCCATCGAACCGCGATCTCTCGAACATCAAACGGATTATCCATGATCCGCACGCTCCTGGAAACTTGGACTCAAATCCTCTACAAATCCGCACATCTGTCATGAGCAGTTTCAACCATCATTTCTCCATGCTTCAGTGCTCCAAGGGCACCTCACATCCAGCCCATTCATTCTACCTGCTCCTTTTCGGGCAAACCAACATGCCCACGACGGCCATCGCGTCTTCGCGTCCATCGCTCGCCTCTCCCCATGGCCGGCCTCGCCCTCGTGGTCCCACCGGAGGTGCAGAAGGCGTCGGCCCTGCGCGCGGAGGCCGATGCCTTGGAGCGGCAAGCGCGCGCCAAGGACAGCCGCTCGGGCGAGGTCCAACCGGAGGCTTTTTGGGTTGGAGCGGAAGGCGATGAGTCGGAAACGCCGTTTTTCGTTAGGAAGTGGATCGATTCAGAAGTGATTGGAGAATTCGTCCTTTACTTTGCTTTTGATTTGAGTGGACTCTGTTACCCTCGTCGTCCATCGCCCTGTGTTTTCTGGTGGCGGTCTCGGGGCCTTCTCGGTCTCGGTGTAAGGTGAGCGAAACAAGCGGCACAAGGGTGAACGCAACTCCCTGAAGGCACCGGCACAGCGAGTTCGGACGACCCGGGTTGCGTGATGTGCGCGAAAGCGGGAGGTCTGGGCGTCAGGGGGGAGTGAGCCGCGAGCCGGAGGTCGTATGCCATGTGCGTGGCGCGAGGTGTGGCAGGGGGAGTCGATGTAGTGTGGTTGATGGATTGTTGACGACATCCTTTGCGGTTTGATTGGTGGTTGAACCGATTTCTGAACAGGTCCAGTGGATGGTAGGCTGGCTGGTTTGGCTGCTTAAGAAACGTCCCCCAGGACCCACCGGATGTGGAAAGGTCGACGTTGCGTTCTACAATGAACGGATGCCAAGCAATGTTGACCAAACAGGACTTGGGTTTGGTTTAGAAGCCGATTTGCTTGTGATCTTGATGAGGATGGTTTCTTTTCTGGCACCCTGTTTTGGACTCGAGTCAGGCCCGGAATGGAATCGATTGATCGCCACGGCTTCGGGGAGAGCGTCACCTTGACGTTTCACACGTGACCGGGGACCCCGCAGCGCGGTTTGGATCCACGGCGGTCCGCGTTTCCGAAGGTTTTTTTAGGATAACTCGCAACCGAAGGTTCCCGCGTTCGTGAGCTGGGAGCTTTCATTTCGATGTGCCAGAATGTTTGTTCACCAATTTTAAGATCGAGCGAAACGCACCAAGTGGAAGCCAAGTTTCCACACAATGGAATGGCTACCTCCAGATGATGGGCTAATCATTGGCTGTGGTCAAAATCCTGGTTGACCCAGGGGGAACTGACTGGATCCATAAAGGAATGTCAAGCTCCCCATGTGTATCGAACGCCCCCTTCCACTTGGCCTCGACGGGTTCTTCGTTTCGTCCCTCCCTTCGGGACGGGTTCATCCCGCCAGGTGCGCATCACCTCGGCACGCGGCTTGCGCGCGGCGGACTTCACCTTGACGCGCTGGTGAGCTCACCCGGGGTGGAACGGTTCGTTGGCTGTATCTTTCTTGGTCGAAAGGGACGGAACTGAGGTCACACTGAGGTCGAGAACAGATCACTGAGTTCACCCCACTTTGAATGTCCTGGAGGGTGACTAAGCATCACTAGTACTGCTTAGTTGTTGCTTGTTATATGTTATAAGATAGATGTTTGCTCGGCTTAAATCGCCAGCCACAACCGCAGCGACATAGTATTGGATGGTTGATGTGCTGTACAAAAGACGAGTACGAGTCGTCTTCATACACTCCACGGTAGAATCTGGTAAAGCAATAGTAGAGAGTAAAAAGGTACTGATGTGGGGATGTCACTTCAGCGCCAATGCAGCATGGAGAAGTAGCATCACTTAGAAAGTGTGAACTCTAAGGGAAGTATATACTATATACCTAGAACCTGAGTGACCTCTATTTTAGACCATCAACCACCCCAAATATGGTCTTTTCCTATCAAAACTGAGATCATGTTTGGGTTCTACGTATACATATTTGTGGCTTTGTCCATCCAGAGGGCCCAAATTCCTCCGTAAACGAATTCTTACTTGGTGACATGAGAATCTCCCCTTGGTCACATATACGGTGCTACAGGCCAGTACAAAAACATCTGGAAGACGATGCCCAAACACAGTGTCACTGTGTGTCTCATAGAGTTCGTTTCCAAATACTTGCTTGCAATTTTGCATGGAATAGTTTTGTGCACATTGTTCACTCCAATGGATTGCAGAACATGCTTTTCATCCTCCGCAGGGGAACCTCCGACCCCTACTGCTCCTGCGAGTTGGCTGGGAAGGCCAAGAGCCCTGGCAGCAGGGCCAGCAGAATTCTTGAGCACGACCCTTCTCCGTTCGGAATAGGCTCTTCAGGTGTATCACCAGTGTCCTTTCTTTTTACCCCCCCAGAGCCGGGAAGCATGTGGATGAGCTGAGGAGTGGATTCAAGACCAATGTGGTGGAAAAGACCTTGGAGCCCTATTGGGACTACGAAGGTGGGGGGTAGCATTGGACCAGACATTGGACCTGACGAAGCAGCTGAGATTCGCACCAGACCAAGTTGGGAGAAGAAACAGGGGGCTTTTTGTGGGTGCTCCCCATCTGGAGACATGGGGTGTTTATTGGCGTCACGGCTTAAAGAGGTAGAGATGGCCCACTGCTCCCTCTCAAGAGATGAAACAATCCAGCACCTGTTGCTCTAGATTGGAGGCTCTTGTGGGACCCGACCGGGTGATCCGTGATCAGTCGAAGCGCTGGTCGCGACAGCTTCGAAAACGGGCAGGATGGCGCTGGGGGCCCAGTCTCCCTTACAACCCCATTTTGGGGGGAAAGGACGCAGGCTGGATCTGATGATCTCTGAGCTAGTGAGCTAGGGAACCCCTTTTCCGAGGAGCGTCCGTCAGTGGTCTTTTTGGGGGGTCTTTCCTTGCCCGGCGATGGCTCCGCTCGGTCTGCGCCCAGTGGCTCTGCTCGGGTCGCGAAGAAGCCCAGCTTCGCCCAAGCAGTTGAAAGCCAAGCAGTTACAGTATACCAGCACCTTCATGTCGGGGTCACCTGGCTGGAAGCCCCTACACTACTAAGGGACCTCCAGACAGGACACCGAAAGAAGGTCCAGGTAGGTTTGGGAAATCAGTTTGGCTACATGTTTTGCATTCTCGAGTTGTACTTTTTCCTCTGCCAGAAGTATAGACAGCCAGTCGCTCCATGTCTGGGGAGTCGCAGTTGTAGATTCGATTAGAATCGCAGCTTGTTGCTCCATGCTGGGCGAGGCACGGTGAACAAGTACAAGTCGGGGATGCCTCTGAAATTCAGCGTTTATGACCGGGACTTCAGCTACAAGGAGCATGTCCATGCCAAGTTTGTGACTGTGGACAAAACGGGGCCGCAACTGACATTAAGTTTGTATCCAGACCAGGTGAAAGATCGCGAGAAACGTTTCAATTCATAAAACTTCAAAAGTCTTGAAAAGGGCATTTGAGCACTGAGAATCTCGGCTTGGCCTCGGGTGAAAGAATCACTTCCGAAGTCGTTCTCTGCCAGGATGACTTGTTGGGCTCTGTCACAGTGCCACTTGGCTCATGTGAGCAGTTTTTTTGAATCAAGGGCAGAGATCGAATGAACTGATTTTCCCTCCTGCCGTTTCATCCGAACGACTACCGTCGCAGAACTTTGTTCACCATGTCAATCAGGTGCTGCGGCATAGACAAACTACCTTAACCTAGTGAGAACAGTTTTCGTTTTGACATTGATCGGGTCATAAAATCACCTGCACAGAATTTGCACAGATCACAGATCTCTTCATTCCAACGTGCCGAAACAAAAATGCAGCGCGGTTCGTTGCTGTGCCGTTCCACCTCGCGCCCTTTTCACCGTCCTGCGCGGGGCACAGCCCCGTCTCACCGTCCTGCAGACGCTCCCGGCTCCCGCGGAGACGGCGCACTGCGCCCCCTCTGCGCCTCTGCAACAGCGCCTCTGCGCGAGCGGCTAGCCGGCGAAGCTGAGGAGTGCGGCACAGTTTCACCCCAATGGCTTCGTGGGAGAGTTGAAGCTGGTGGACCCCCAGGCAGCTGCCGGGCAGGAGGCGTTCCTGCAGGCGAGGTGGCTTGCTGTGCGACCGCGGACATCGTCCATCGGTCCCAAATGGTCCCGATGGTTATTCCCTGGACGAGCCGTACCTGGGTCATCGCGGGGGCGACGTACCGGGTGGGGAAAGAACATGAACGGATTCACCAAACATGTTTGCTGGTGTAACGGTGTGGTGCTGGTGTAACGGAGTCCATTTTGTGAGCTTCCACTGCCGGGGACTCCTGGGTTGATGACCTGCACCCATTTTCCTGGAGCCTCCAGAGGGCGTCAATAAGCTGCTGACTCACATGTTCCCTTGGGGGGAGAGGCTTTCTCCTGGTCGGCCAGGTGGAGATCGCGGACATCCATGGAGAGTTTCCTGCGGATGAGAAGGTGCAAGGGGGAGTCCGTGTGTCTCCCAGTAAACGAACAACTCGTGGATTTTGGGAGATGGATGTCGGCCTACAACTGGAGAGTTCTCCACCTTTGGGCCTTTGGGCATGAATCCATGCTGTGACCTAGCAGGCGGCTGGTTTCAGCAGGTTCTTTTCTCCCTTCGAACAATTCCGGGTGCGGAATCACTGGATCTGGTTTGGTGAGTTGCGGACTGCCCAGGCGGGCGGGAGTGATTTTTCTATGCCCTTTTCTTCAGCGGCTGGGGGTGTAGCTCTCATTTTCCCACGCCCAGTGCCCACTGGCTTGGCCCTTGCCAACTGTGGCTCTCTGCAGGAAGGCTCCGGATCAGCACTCAAGGTGGGCAGTCTCGGGGGGCCTGGAAGAACTGGGAAAGCCGGACGTGGATGGAACAGCAAGCACTGACCTCGTGGAGAGACGTCCCTCCCTCCCTACACGTCCCTACACGTCCCTACACGTCTGCGCACGTCCGACATGGGTTATCTTGAAGGTATAATTGATATAATGATACCAGGACCCTCCAAGGGGTGCCCAATGGAAGCCTATAGGTAGTGTGGGGTAGTCCATTGGACACCCCTTGGAGGGTCCAGGTAGTATAATGTCTGTATGCCTTCGTTCTCCTGAACAGGAAGATCCCACCAGTTCCCGTGTGCCATGCTGGTGTCCCGATCTCCCGGAGAAAGACTCGGGTCTATGTGTAGCTCAAATAGAAGGACCTCCCAGGCGGCCCAGGCGGCCCAGGCGTTCCGACCCCAACGAAGGAAGAAGGAAGAGGTCGACCCATCCTGATTGGCTGAGACCCCTTCTCTTACTACACACCCACATCTTTCATTCCTTGGATCGTCCAACAAGTCTTCCCTCATCGATTCATGCCGCGTTCCGCTTTCTTCGTGGAGGTGAAGATCGTGGCCGCACGCGGCTTCCAGGACGACAGCCACTCGACGGTCGAAGCGTGTGAAGATCGGGACCTCAATCCGCTGGGGTAGTCGTAGGAGTCGATCCGCTTGAGTAGAGACGTCCAAATTCGCTCTGGAAGTGGCTGCGTGGCCTTGGATTGGGGAGGAGGTGTTGTGTGTGTCCCCTCATCCACATCAAGTGCCTGAAGAGGGCAGGAGTAAGAGAGCACGAAAGTGCTACATCATTTGCATATTTGTAGATTACAGGCACAGCATGCCTTTACGGCTACAATAGATCATATTGTTGTTTAAGACCCAAGATAGTCATCGTTGTCTTGCTGTCAGGCCAAGCTTCATGTTGCATTGTCGGTGAGGTCGGAATGTTGGATGCCTCCGAGATTGTGAACTTGCATGTTTCGTTTTGCCAGGTCCGAAGGGTCAACCGAGTTATTTGAGGGCTGACAATTGGTGACCAGGTCTAATCGAATCAGAACAGACTCTTCCAAGCCCAGTGTGATTGGCACCCAACTGAGGCAAAGGCCTCTTTGGGAAGACCACCGCTTGCCTCTTCAGCACCTGCACCTTGGACTGGTGAAGACCGAGCCGCCACACCGTCCGGCCACCGGAGTCGAGCACGGCGGTCGTCCGCGCAGGTGAGATCATGGGCAAGGCGAGAAGCTCCATGCGAACGCAGGCAGGGAGCGAGGTTCGTGGTTGGCGGTTCGGTGGTTTTTCTCCGCAAGGTGTGTCCGGGACATGATGACATGGTGCTAGGATCACTTCATGCGTGTGCGTGAGTCACATTTTTTCAGTGTGGGTGTGAAGGCATCAAAGAGACTCCCCGTGGTCTACACGGGATGGTGCCAGCCGTGGCCATGGCTGTGGGTACCGTCAAAAGCGCTTGGGTGACCTACCTTCGGTCCGTGGACCTCCGTGGACCTCCGTGGACCAGGTCAAGGCGGAGGCTTCGGACACCAGAGAAAGCGGCCCCGGGACAAGGCCCCCCCGGGTGCGAGGCATTCGGTGAGTTCACCCCTTGGCTTGGCTGGCAGAAGGACCACTAAATAGACCACCCTGAATGGTTCGAAAGGTGGAGTGAGAAGATGCTTCCAGCAAATGGCCCTTCCGGGGAATTCTCCATCCAGTGTAGCTTCAAAGGTTCTTGATTGAACACACCTTTCTAACCTTTCAATGGTGTCAGAATGAAGGGGCCCGGAAAAGGTATTTTGTTCTCCTGTTTTATGTCTAAGGTCTTTTTCTGCGTTCTCCGAAGAGCTTGGAGATCTTGGTTTCGTCCGAGTTTTTGGATCGTTAAGATGCATTTCCTTGGCCGGCCCACCTTAGCCAAGCCGCAGGCAATTGAACATACCGGGCAGCCTGAGTGGAGCCTGGGCATGGCAGACACCTTGGGATGGAGAGGTCGTTTCTTATTGGGAACCATGCCTGTGTGAGACATGTGCAAGTTTGGATCCAGACCCATTTTGGAGATGGTGTTTGGTCAAGATGTAGATTTTCACCGAAAAAGGTCTTCCATGGCCTGGTATCTTTTAATCGCTGCGAGGTATTCGAGTGTCTTCGCAATGTTCAATCGCTATGGTGCATCATAAGCTTAAGGTTGGGCTTACCTGATGTATATATGCAGGGCCCATAGGATCCTTCAGCCTGCTGTTCATAAGCATTCGTCAGCTAGGCCGACGGGCTCATCCAAGCCAGCAGCCTTGACGCTGTTTGCAGTCGTGACTTTCAGGAGACATTTGAACACAAGCAACAAGCTCACAAAGGAAGGAACTGTGTGATTTTCGCTGCTCGGAGTCTTTTCCATTCTCTTTTCTTGGATTCGCAGTCAGAGGTCTTCATAGAAATGGGTCGTTCGAACCACTGAGGTGCTGTACCCTTGTAGCGTAGCTCTCACACATGCGTAGCTGTCAGTGGAACATGTCCGGCGCTCCGCCCGTCCCCGAGGAACTACGAGCGCCACATGCGCAGCTTCAAGTCAGGCGAGGCGGATTGGGATCGGCGTCGAGTTCACGGGTTACGCAGGCAACGTCAGATGTGGCTCATCAGCGTAATGTACAAGAACAGACAGGACCGGAAGAAGCATTCCATAGGGCTCCAAGTACCTCAGAAGGTATTTGGGTCCAAACCCGCCCCAGTCCCACCTTCTCAGAAGGTAGTTGGAGCCCTACGGATAGACAAAAGCCCGTTCTATCAAATCCCATGGGTTTGCTTGAGACGTCCAAGAGATGTTGGACACTCACCATCTCATCTAAGCCATCTAAGAATCTAAGATGCTCGGTCGACCGAACACCAACCGTTCACCCAGCGCTTTGATGTTTTTCGCTTCCAAAACAGGAAACGTTGGAAAACAAGAGAGGGCACTTGTTCCTAATAGCTTCTTGTTACTACTAGTAAGGCACTTGCTCCTAGTAGCGTGGCACTTGTTCCTACTAGCTTCTTGTTTCCCGTTGACTCGTCGCTCCCCAAATTGTCATGTGGAGTTTCCCACCTTGTCGGTCTTGACTGCCCTCTTCCTCTCGCAGACCCCTCCATTTTATGTGGGGGAGATGTATTTGCAGCGGATCCGATAATTTTTACCGAAACGGGATGGTCAGTGGAACGAACAGGACCACTAGAAGGTCCGGATTTCAAGCCACTAGGTAGGTGCTATTTTTTGGGCGTTCCTGATTCTGAGACGCCTCCTCTCTTGTTTCTTGCAGGTCTTTGCAAGTTGAAACACTGAATGTCCTCGCTTTCTTGTGCGAACCTTGTTGAGCAACCATCCAGCTTGCTTCTAACGAGCCCAGTTTGCTAAGGAAAGGGGTTCTGTTGGCAAGAGGGAGCCATGTTCCGCGACAACATTTTTGTTAGTCAAGCGGCACTTGCCTGGAATGTTCGACTGCAGGTGGAACTATCTCAGGTTAGTTTTAAGTTGTAAATCCACATTTGCTGTGGGAGTGTGCAGATCAGATCTGCAGGTGACGTCCTGCTCTTCAAGGTAGTTCAGGAGCAAAGTGGCAAGGCGCTATGACAAACAAAAACGGGTCGGGTCGGGTGGGAGCGTGGTTCGAAAGCCTGGGGGTCCTTTCTGCACATTTTTCTGCTAAAATTGACATCGATAGTCTGAACAGTCGTTCTTGGGACTTTCTCGCAAAAAGAACTCACATTAACTGGTGCTATGTCACTAAGAGTGTTTAAGAAAGAAGCACACAAGACCTCATTGTGCTTCAACACAAAAGAGATTCTGCTGAAATGTGAGAGGACTGAATCCAGCAAAGTCTTCAGTTTTCTTCATGAGCTAATTGCTTTAGCTTTCAGCCGCCCAGTATTCTTTGGATATGGCTCCAACCTACTAGCGATGGCCTCCAACCTACTAGCGATGGCCTCCAACCTACTAGCGATGGCCGCGATGGCCTCCAACATCCTAGTGTGGAAATCTGTAACCCTAAGGACTGTGTTCCATGTCGAGCTAATTCACCACCAGTGAACCAGGTGAGTGTTGATAACCACCAAGGTAAACCTGTTCTTTCTTCCTGATGTCAGGTATCATGCATTCGACGCCATTCGATGCATTTCGTTGCCGGATACAGCCGTATCCTTCGAGCTTTCGTTGCCTCATGGCTCAAGGCCACGCACGGACCATGCACATCATGTGGAAAGAAGAAAAAGGTCCGAGCGTCTTGGAGGGTGGGAGATGGATCCATGTTATGTTCCTATGTTTGATCTTTGAGGTATATGGGCCCCTAGGATTCCCTTCTTTTTGGGGTCATATGCTTCGCATGGTAGCGGAGCTCATGGTGCTCCTTAGGATCTATCTAGGACAACATACAGGTATCCAGGTCGATAGGACATTTCACCTCCACCCATCCGTTTTTCGAGCCACGGCCAAAGAGGCCCAACCAGAGGCCAATCAATGCCTGCGAATCTAAGTACTCCATCGTTCAGCAGACCTGCAGTGGACCATTGGACGTCTATCCGACTGGAAGGCCAGATCACGGAACTGACCAAAGGACTTCAGATGATGGGTTCTCAATTGCAAACGCTTGCAACCATGGTTGAGAGTCAACAACACGCTTTCCAAAAGACACCTGATACATTCCAGATGCAGCAAGCCATGATTCAAGGTCTTCAAGCCCAGCGTACTGCACTTCCGATTTCACCACGAGGTGGAAATGTACGATCAAGTCCATTTGGTGCTGCCACAGCTGCAGGGATACAGGCCAATGGACAATCACCCTTTGGGACAATGGGTCAATCCACGACCAATCAGACAACAGCTCAGCCGAATGGTGCAGCTACAGGATCAGATCCTTCGAATGTTGCTGTCAGTGGACCAAAGATCGTGCTCCCTGGAGGGATTGAGATCCCGCTTGGTGGTGCATCCTCGGCCACAACTTCCGGAACAGGAGGAACCTCAGAGAAGCCAGTTTTAGACGCTTTTCAACGGTCATAGCTGACCCGTCTGTGCCAATGAGGCTTACTTCAAAACAGCCTCGACCACCTTCGTTGCCAGAGCCCTCAGTCCCGTTGAATGAGAGATTCGCTCCAAAAACTGAGCCCAGGTTTGAAGGGGGTCTTGAAGTTGAAGGGGGTCTCATGGATGATTGTGATTATACCCCATGAAATTGCACCATCAGGCCCGGTTGATCATGAAGATCTTCTCGATGCATCTCCGTAGGGCGTTGATCTCACAGAGCCACAAGGTGATTCAATTGTTGATGTCGAGATGACTAGCCCTTCTCCAGGTGACTTGTCTCCACCAATCAGTGCATCTGACTTCGTAGACCTCTCGGTACCGACCTTATCAACAAGTCCAAACGATTCAGAACAGCATTGAACTCTTTTAAACTTGACCATCTAGAGACTCGCCATATTGGATTGATGCAAAGTGTGCACCAGATCAAAGGGCAAGAAAACTATAGTGAAGAAATCATCCTCTGTGACCGAAAGGTCAAACTCATCTACCCCGGCTACGTGATTAGTGATGACGATTTCTCATATCTAAGCTGCGAACTGTCATGGGAAGGAATGAAAACTGAAACCAACTCAATCACTTCTCCAAAGGTCGGTCGGAGGCCGCCGCAAATGATTTGGTCATTCTTGGACTAGACGTGTCAGCAGCATTCATGGCGTCACCATTAGGTCAAAAGCTCGGCAAACCTATCAAAGTGATCCTCAAAATGCCAACAAACATCACCTTTCCAGACGGCAGTCCTGTCTTCATGGAGGCCTACAAGGCCATCAACGGTCTTCGATCCAGCGGTCTTGCATGGGTCGAGCACTTGGCCAACCTTCTCCAGTCTTTGAACATCTCCCCATCGCCGTTGGAGTCAACAATTTTTGCAGGGGAAATCATTCGAAAGGGTCAGAAATCAGAATGGATTCAAGTCATTGCATATGTTGATGACCTTCTTGTTTTTGCCCGTTCTGAAGAGGCAGCCATGTTTGTTTTTTGAGTATTTGTCTAAATCACTCAAGGTCAAGAAGACTGGAATGATCAAAAAAGCAAAGCCGGAGGTGGATCCCTCAGATTTCTAGGAAGGACCATCGAACGTAAACCGAAACAAAGTAGGCTTACCGTGAGATTGGATCCCAATTATTTAGATTCGACATTCGAGGCTTTCCAAATTTTGCAGAGGTAGTCCGATCTGCGTCCAATCCTTGATGAAGAGAAGCCTGAAAAGAACGAGCCGCAAACGGCTGAGGCCGTGACCCGATTTCGCGCTGCATTGGGGAAATTAGGCTGGATGACCCAAACGTTTTTGCACTTATCTATTTACTACTCTCTTCTGGCTGCAGGTATGTCTGAGCCACTAGTGAAGTACGAGCAAGCGCTCCGATCTCTTTTGCGTTGGCTGCATAGTCATCGAAGTTTTGTCCAGCATTTCCCGTCGCCTGAATTCCAATTCAGTGATGACAACATGAACTCAGGGAGCAAGATCGTGATTTACAGTGACGCTTCCTGGGCTCCACTTCGGAGTCTGAAGAGAAGATCGATTTCAGGAATGGCAGCATTCTACAAAGGTAGTTTAGTTAAAGCGTTTAGCCGAATCCAGAGCATTGTAGCCACCAGCTCATGTGAAACTGAACTCTCAGCAATTGCAGAGTGTGTTCAAGAATCTGTAGGCTTAAACCGACAGGCCGAACATCTCAGTACGCAAGCTCACGTTGAAGGCCTGATTGATTCTATGTGTTCAGCTGTCACTTTCAACAAATTGTTCATCCATCTGTTTGGTATCAACAAGGATGATGCTGTAATTCCTGTCAAAATCAGGACTGACTCACAAGCCGCCATTCGAGTCCTGCAAGCCTCCGGATTGCAGAGGCGATCTAGACACGTGGCACTTCGCGTTTGTTTTTGTCAAGACTTAGTGAAACGTGGACTTGTAAGACTTGTATGGGTTGATGGACAATGGCAAGTGGCCGATATTTTGACAAAGACCTTGGGGGTCAAGTTGTTTAACGGAAGAAGCAAGGCAAGGCATCCTCCAATTCAGCCAGAGGGACATCATTATTGTCGTGGAGTTTCCATGGGATTTTTGGAGGAAGATGAAACAGACCCAGCAGTTCACGGAACACCAGTGGCAACCTCATCCAATCGCAAGAATTCCAGCAAATTGTCTTCGCTGTTGAAATCGAGACCACTTGTTTCGCAGAGTGTACAGACAGCAAATGTTGTTGAACTTGAAAGACAGGAACAGACCAATGGTTCAGTCCTGTCGTCGACCAAGAGTGTTGTTATTGAAGCTTCTAGTCTCGTAGACGTGGTATCTAGCTATGAGATCTTGACTTTTGAAATCTGTTGCTATCCAAACAGCAATTTGGCAAGTGTTGCCATCCAGGCAGTCCCCAATGGAGCTTTGATCGTGCGTTGCACCCGGTCTTCGCCCTTGGAGGAATTCCAAGATCAGATTCATCACAGAGTACCAAAGAAGTTCTCTTACATTCACATTTCTGTGCCACGCACAGGAGGAAGCTCTTTACAAAACCTCTCGGACAATGAGGCTTTGAAGAGTGAACATGTTGAGAAGTTTTTCACACTGCTTGCGCAATGCAAACCGCTTCTCAAGCTTTGCAGTTTGTGGACATTCGAGTTGCCCAAATGAAACACGTATTGGAAGACCGAAGTCATGAAAGATTTTATCACACACTGTGGTGTCCCCATCTTTGTAACATGCCGAAGTTATGTGCTTGTGGAGGGCCCCGTGTGGCAAAGAGCTTTGTGTTCATCAGCACGCATCCAGGTGCCATTCAATGTTGTGAGCATTCTTCGCATGAAAGCTTCAATGCGTCACAATGGCATAAAACTGGAAGATATCCAGAATTGTTGGTCAATGTCCCTATGGAGGCCATTCGATCGATCCATCAGAAGACATACACGCCTAAGGCCTAAGGCGGGATCCGGATATTTAATGTACCATCCAACTTGGGAGCCACCTGCTATTTTGTATACCATCCGTAAATTGCAGGGATTTCCAATCGATTTTGAGCACGCTAGTAGCTTTGGAGCGATTCCGTAATCGATAGGTTTTTTGCTCAAAGTGAAGAATCTCTTGAATAGATGCTCGAGCTGATTGTCCTCGCCATGTTCGTGATGCAATGCTTCATGTTTTTGGCGGCGTGTTGCTACATGATGCCGAAACGCCAGCGCAAATCTCCGGAAAGTGCCGGCTCCTCTTTTGACGATGGTCGCTGAGGAAAGCATGCATGTTCCTTTGAGTGCAAAGAAGCGCATGCATTTGGCAAAGCGCTTGAGGAGGGAAAATCGGGAGCAGCTTCTAGTGCGCGTGAAGATGAAGATCCTGCTTTTGTTGCTGGTTCAAGCTCCTCACATGACACCGAGGCATTTTCCAAATGATATTCCTGCTCAGATCACTGATGCTTCTGTTCCAGAGCCACCTGTGGTGGATCAAGTACGAGATTACTTCACAACGAAGTCTTGAAAAGCCTTCCATCTTGGCGACTGTCAGGTGATTCGCTACCGCCTCAAGGATGCCAGAATGTGGAACTTGTGTCACAGCTGTTTTTCAAGCACGCCAACCTCGTTCCCGAAGAGAGAGAATTTGGCAGGCATTGACGGAGTGCTTCCTTCGACCAAGACGCGATGCACCATTATTCCAAACTTTGCTGGAGTACAGTACAAGACCCCGTGTCCTTTCTGTGTTCCATGCGCCGATAAATGATATCGGAAGTTGATGTCAAGGATTTTTTTGTGGTTGAGACGAACTCCCACAGACCTCAATAGAAGAATAAGAAGAAAATTGTGATTTTTCGACTTCTCGTCGCATCGACTTGTTCACATTTCCAACAAATGCAGAGCATTCGTTTTGTTCCTTTGCGTGACTTTTTGTGACAGGTTGGAAGACCGTCTTCTCGACTGTGCGCACCTTAAGATGTCTAAGTGCAGAGCACTAGAATTATCTCGAAAGGGGGTGTGGAAATCTGTAACCCTAAGGACTGTGTTCCATGTTGAGCTGATTCACCACCAGTGAACCAGGTGAGTGTTGATAACCACCTAGGTAAACCTGTTCTTTCTTCCTGATGTCAGGTACCATGCATTCGACGCCATTCGATGCCTTTCGTTGCCGGATACAGCCGTATCCTTCGAGCTTTCGTTGCCTCATGGCTCAAGGCCATGCACGGACCATGCACATCATGTGGAAAGAAGAAAAAGGTCCGAGCGTCTTGGAGGGTGGGAGATGGATCCATGTTATGTTCCTATGTTTGATCTTTGAGGTATATGGGCTCTTAGGATTCCCTTCTTTTTGGGGTCATATGCGATGGCCTCCAACCTACCAGCGAAGGCCTTGAACCTACTAGCGACGGCCTCCAACCTACTAGCGATGGCCTCCAACCTACTAGCGATGGCCTTCAACCTACTCGCTTTCTTTTGCCATGAGAAAAAATTAGTCGAACTTGTGAGTGAAGAGTCACCCACCTGAGCACCGCGCACTGCTGAGCTGAGCACCGGTGCCAGGACTATCCTTTGATGATGAAACAGATGAAGGCAGAGGACGATCCCTTTGAAGTGGTATTTCTGGGAAGAGACCTACATGGAACCTGCAAAATCTACAACCCAGTGGCTTTCAGATTCCATGTTAATTCTTTCCAGGATGTAACTCTGGGTGCAAAGGGCACCAAGCGTAGATGGTCTAGTCAAGAGAACCCGTGGATAACGGCGAGTTGATGAATTCTCTAGTAGCAAAGGTCCGTGGCACTCAGAAGTAGTTCTGAGGGACAAGTCCTATGCCTGTTGATCACTTCAATCTGACAATCTTGACATTTGTGATCTCAACGATCAGGTTACCATATGTGTCTGGATTAGCGGTTTAAGCCCCAAATGACTCTGCAACACGTTAAACATGGGAGGCCACAACTGAAGCGGTAGGGCACGTGGCTGGTATGGCTGAAGAAGAGCTAGCATACAAACACCTCTGTGAAGTGACATTGAACAGGAACAGAAACTACTAGGAACAAGAAACTACTAGGGGCTCCTGGCCTTACTACTAGGAGCAAGGACGCTACTAGGAACTACTAGGAACACCTCTGGTTCTTTTGTCCAAGGTCTTGACCTCTGGGTCATCTGCGGTCGCTGCTTCTGTGCGGTTGGGTCACCGAGTAGATGGACGGGACCCTACATTACATCGGACACCCATATACAGTGGTTTCAGAGTAGATGGCACAATCCCCTTATATGGACCCCTTATGTAAAAGACATCTTGGGGGGTGTGCCATCTACTCTGAAACCCCTGCAGGTCTCCTCCGGACGCCCATTGGAAGATCCATCACCTTTTTTCTTGAGAGAACTGCGATTCTCCCTCAACTTCTTTTGACCCCCGAGATAGATAGAACAGCAAAGTTCTTTTCAAGATTTTGGGACCACTCGGTTCCCCCGTATGTATCGGTGCCTTTGTGGCGCGGGTGCCCAGGACTTCTATCCCAATGGCTTCGCTGGGGTCTTGGAGATGGACCCTGTAGGCGTGTTCGGGGCACACGGGGAGCCGTTCAGAGCCCAGGGAGCGGAGGAATCAAGCTGGTCTGGTGAAAACACACAACCCGTCCATGTTCTACACCTGCCTGCATTCATGCAGTCTGTGTAGTTTCTGCTGGTGCCTGCCGGTGAACCGGACCCCCGAACCCCTGTCCTGAACCTTTTTTCTGTTCGTCGGACCGGACCCGTCCGGCCGGCCGGCTGCGAGCGGCACTCGCAGTGATCTCCTCCGCCGGCACCAGGCAGTTGGAGCGGCGCCTCGGACCTGAAGCCGCAGCTGGAGGTGCTCATCAGCAACTCCGAGGCCGGAGGAGAAGAGGTGGCCGGTTCGGCCGGGGCCAGCCGTGGACGTGGGAGAGGAAGGGAGGAAGAGCTACTGTTGAGACCTCTTACCTGCTGTTGGTTCCAAAGGAGTGGCCTTTTGACCGGTGAAAACGACGAACTGAAGACGAGCCGAGACGAACTGATGGAACCTGACCAACGACTGGTGCAGCGTTCGAGGAAAACAGTCGCACTCCGGGTGCCGGACCCGGTTGGTGTTGGTGTTCGGGGTGTATCCGTGTTGTAGGTGAGTGGAGAACGGGCACCCCCTAGCCCATCCAAGAGGCATCCTGACTATCCTGACTATCTTGCTTGGTTTAGTCTAGGACTAGGACCTTTTGTTGACCAAACAGGCAAAGGGGCCTTGCTCTTCCGAGACGCAACATCGCTTGTTCTACACAGCCGCAAAGCCCGAAATCAGTTGAAGACACCCTTTGTGAACCCGCTTAACCCCACAGCTTCCTGGCTTCGGAGTCTTCTTTCGGTCCCAACATGTCTGGAACCCCCGCCCTGCGCGCTTCCGTCGGAGTCGACCGGTTCACGACCGCCAGGGCAAGTATCCCAAAATGATGCTCCCGGACTCCAAATTGGAGGTCTGCTGTCCGCTCGTCACGGTCGGTACTTCCGGGGAAGGTTCGACCAACAGTGTTCACCGGCATCGATGGTCTGACTGTCTGAGTTAAACGACCGCCTGCGCCCACCACTTATACAAGTCCAAATGCCCTAAACATCCCTAAACTCTAAGTTCGGTATACAAGCATGAGTAGAACACCGCTTCGGTGTCACCTTGCCCCGTTCTTTTTCACCTACCTTGCCAGGTGCATGAACTGAGTCAGTAAAGACCAAAAAGGCAGACCTGGGCCTTCTTTCGGGGTGTCCAGGCTGGAGATCCCTAAGTAGTGGGCTGGGGCTTTCAGCCAGGTGACCCCGACATGAAGGTGCTGGGATGTTTGATGTCGCAACGGACACGAACATCTTCTTTGGCATCCCTTCCAGGTTCCAGCTTGCGGTGGTCAAGCCATTGGTTGGCTTCCTTCTGTTCTGTCACGGAGGTTTTGCAGACTTCGACCCTTTGGGGACCTCGTCGCATGTGTTCGATGTGCCCGACCAATGCGACCCCCTGGGGGGTCGATGGGTCGGCCGCTTCGTCGTCGCCAGACGACGACGACGACGACGGGATTTGGGGACGTGAGCTGCGCGGGGCTGCGACCGTGCATCGGTAAGCATGCCGCGGCAGGTGCGGATCTTGAGCGCGAGAGACCTGAAGGCCTCTGACGTGGCTCACCAGCACCACGGAGGACCCGGGTGTCTATGAGTCCCCCCGAAGGACGAGGTCCGAAGCGGGGTGGTTTCATGTGGACCACCCCGACTGGGGGTTCAGGCAAAAATCATTTAGAGTGTAAAACCTCGTCATGTGGGGAGTACTTGGATGCCGGAGGATGCCGGATGGCAGAGCCTTGATTTACAGACGCACAGTTCTGGGGTCGGCCCTTGGTTCGTAGGTCCGATGAAGGATCCAAACTGGAAAGGGATACTGAGGACAAGATGTGTAATATACATGATACAATCAATCAGTGGACCAAAACAGCGACAATCTCTTCCCCCAGATTCTCCTGCCCCTTTTTTCCGCTTTTGCCGGCATTCCTTCCTTCCGCACACCCCACTCTCTGCACTCCAATCCTCTGCACCTGCGCACCGGTGCTACTTCAGCAACCCGAGGTCTACCTGCTTCAGCAAAGCTCCTCCGATCCCTACTGCAAGTGCGAAGTGGTCGGCAAGCCTTTGAGCCGCTTCCGTACCAAGACGGTGGACCAGAACCTTTTCCCGAAGCTTGGCCTGGTGGAGTAGAGACCGGGGGATTTCTTCGCCTCTTCTGTTTGGATCGAAGATAGGTGTGACGCGTGGTTTTGGATGGTTAGTTGGGGAAGGTTCTTTTTTGGGATGGATGGTTAGTGGATGAGATGTTTTTTGTTTCATATAAGTTTTGTTTTTCCTCGTTTGATGGGTGAGGGGGGTCATGTTTGGAGATTTGCCATGATGGTCCACGATCTGCTTGTAATGGGATTGTCAAAGCTTACTGGATGCTAACAAAAAGGAGGGCACAGTCGTGAAAAGGAATGCTCTTGGAGGACCACGGCCGCAATGACCAGGCACCCTGAGACTCCAAATATGACTTCTTATATCTTCCTATGCACCCTCTTGGTTGGTGGGCGTTGTGCCTTCGCCGCACCGCGCTTGTCCGGATCTCACAAGTTCCCATGGTGCCACCAAAACGAGTTTTTTCTAGAAGTCTTCCTCACCCCTGCTCCACCCCTCCGTTCCACCCCCTCCGACCTGGCCCACGCCCCACCCACGCCGCCCGTTCCACCCACGCCGCCCACGCCCGAGGGTCTGGAATCATCAGAGTCGCCTCCGTGGCTCGACTCGCCCCGGGGGGGTCGACCCGGGGGAGGGCCGGGGAGCGGTGTTCCGGCGTCCGGTGCCGGTGCCGGGGCACGGGGTCAGTAGGTCCCCCGTGCGACGGTGACCGGCGTCCGAGTGTTGCGAAGAGGAGGAGGAGCTTGGGGTGTCCATGTCTACCACCCTGACTGGGGGTTCAGGAAGAAGTATTTTAGTATTAAATGGTGGATGATAGATCAAACGTTGTTTTTTCTTTTTTTAAATAGACAATTGTACAGATACACTGATGGCCTTGCAAACAGGTGTTTTTTGATTCTTCAGGATCTTCAGGGCGTGGATGCACTGCAAGTCACGCATCCCTTTTTTTTGTGTTTCTATGTTTCTGTCTTCCAGCACCAACTCCGACAGATTCTGCCAGAGTTGCATGACAAAAAGATCGATGGACGAAAACACATCCACCGACTCAGCTGTCTCGTTTCGGCTTTTTGTTCACACGAGTAGACTCCGAAACGCGACCGTCACCAGCCCCGCCTGCACGGACCCCGAAGAAGACGCTACACGTCGGTGTGAGACGAAGCTACATGTGGTTGAAGAACCCGAACGTTCGACTATCCTATAATCCAGGTGACGGGTCCTAGTTCACTGGCTACCTGTGTTGGTACGTGTCCTGTGGGTCCGGGGTTCAGAGTTTGCCCAGGAGGATATGAGCAGGGTGATTCCATCAAGTTCACCATCTTCGATGAGGCGATGTCCGATCGAGACGGGGAAGACCGGATCTGTTTTGCAAGTGCCTTTTTTGGTGTGCCTGTTGCCCATTGAAGCTAACGTTCTTATCATCTTATAGTAGCTTGGAGGTCTGTGCTTTCTTTGTCTGGGCGTCGCCGCCGAAACGCCGAAAAAACGCCACGAGAATCAAACGTGGCAACACGGGTCACCGGTGACGATGTCAGTCCGCGGTCCGCAGTTTTCGCTGAGGATTACGTGTCACAGGACGATGAGTTGGGATATGCGGTGCTGGCCTCAGATGGCGGGTGTTTGCACGACGGCGGGTCCACGTGCGGGCCTTGGTGACTCACGTGGGTGTGATTCGGTGAAGAGGACGCCCGATGAAACATGATGTCCCGACATACCATGTGCTTCAGTGGCATTTGGGATCGATTTGATTTGACTTGACCGAATTGGTTTCCTGAAAGGACGATCACCTCCCATCACCTCCCACGAAACAACGCCAAACCAACACATTTCAACACCCTGTCCTCTCTCCAACCACCTCCGACCCCAAACAGGTCTCTCGGCGGTGCGGCACGCCGTCTCGCTGCGGTCCTCTCAGGTTCTGAAGAGCGAGGACTTCCATGCTGAGGGCTTCTACGGGGAGCTGCGCCTGCAAGGCACCGACGTGGAGTCCTACATCAAGGCGACCGGACCGCACCGGTCCGGCCCGAGGGGCCCGAGCTGCACACCGGGCCCCGCGTCGCGAGTCGTCCGTGGACGAGTCACAGGGCCCGATGCAGCTGCCCGATCCCCGAGTCCGACGCCGACCAAAAACGGGCGAATGAATCGAAACAACTTCTGGGACTTGGCTGGGATCTTCTGGGACCCTTACAGGTAGATCAGTAGATCTGATATCAGGGTTGACAAGCTGAGGGCAGAGCCCTTTTGGTGCTGGCCAGTAAGACTCTGCTCAACCGTAGCACCAAAGGTTTCCAGATTCCAGCGGACCTCTCAACTTGACCCGGCCTGAAAGGCCGACCTGGGGAGGAGAACCCCTGTCGCAGCACCCTCACTGCCAGAGTACCACCTGTTCGGAGACCTGGTTTTTCGTCAGCCCCGTCCACTTCACTCGTCGCTCGACCTCGACCCTCTCTCCGAGGTGCAGATCTCCACCTGCGAGGGAGAGTTCTTGAACGGGGCCACTTGGGCAAAGAAAAAGGTATTGAGTGACCTGAGGCCCCAGGCCACCCGTCACCTGGGGTACCGGATAGTGATCCAGGCCTTAGGGTTCTTCCACCTCTGGCAGCTTCCTCGATGGGATCCCGATTCCTCAAGGAGGGCCCCACCCAGAAAAGTGGCATGAGTCGAGGGGTCAAAGGAGAGAACCCGCGACGGCGCGGCCCGAACGGAGCCGAAAAAGCGCGGCGCGTCATCACCTTTTTTTCGTGATGATTCGCGAGCACCTTTTCTCAAAGTGTTTTCCTTGGACCTCTGGCCTCCTTATTGTCCAGGGTTTCACTCAACATGAACTTGTCAAGCTTTGTAAGTGTGTTTTTTGTTGTGTTGTTTTTAAAAACACCTCAGTGACCTCAGTCACAGGGATCTCAAGAGGTCACCACCGGGACACTTCCTCGATGAACTCACGTTCCCGGGACACGTCCTCCCGGGCGAATCCGGTGGAAGAAGGCGGGTGACGCTCCATCTCCTTTGGCGGTTCGGCCGTTCGGAAGATTGGACTTCCTCTCCCGTTCGTACACGGTGGCTTGATCCTACCGTGCTCGCTCTTCCTTCCTGTTCTTCGCGTGTTTTCTCCGAAGAAAAAAGGGGTGCTTTGGGAGACGAGGGAGGTTTTCGCCATTTGGCATCTTTAGAAGCAAAAGCTCATGCTGAGCATATGCTGTTGTGAAGATCAGGGGTTGGGATAGGAGGTTTGTCAAACAGGTGTCACATATAAATGTTTTTATGTGCACTCACATCGCTTGAGCAGAGTGCTCACACCCACAGACTTAAGGCTTTGGATTGCTCGACAGCACTGTTTTCGGCCACCGCATTTTGGTGTAGCTTTGGCCCCTTTGGCTGTTCTTGGGGGACGTGGAAGTCTCTGTTTTTGGGATTGGCTTCCTGTGTGCCACCGACCACCCAGCGAAAAAATAGAAAAAAAAGAGCCCGCGAGGTCGGACGTTCTCGCCCTCCCCCCACGAACCGATGTGAAAGGTGAAGTCCGATGAGGACAAGGCGCGGCTGTCCCGCCACTCGTCGTGCTTCGGTCCCGCCCCTGCGCCGGACAGGACCGGGTACGGGGGACGGTTCGTGGTTTTCGGTCCGGAGGGGTCCCCGGAGTGTGTGAGAGTGGTGAGAGTGGTGGGCATATGCCCGTCCAAAGCCGAAGATCCATTCTGTTGATCTGTGGGGGTAGCTGCCGAGAAGAAAAAGGGGTTCTCAGGGTTTAGTTCCTTGCACTGGCCTAGTGAAACTTCCCTTATCACCAAATCTCATGAACCACTTTTTCAGCTCCTCCTTCGCTTCGCCTTCTTCGCTTCGCAAGCTCCTCCGCTCCATTGGAGCCTCCTGACGCTCTTTTTCACCGTGACCGGTGCCGACTTGGTCAGGCACGGAAGGCTGGCCTTGGACCAATTCAGATTGCGAAGAGCGGCCTGGGAGTTGTAAGCTCGTTCATTTGCTCAGGCTCCAAGAAGTGATTGGACCACGAGGTCGATGGACGTTCACGACACAGGTCCGATGGTGCACGGTCCCGATTTCAGGCCGGCAGGGTCAACAGCAGGTCCTATTCCCACCACAGGACCGAGGGTCTTTTTTCGCCTCCGTTCATGGAGGCGTTGAAGCATTCTGGGAGCTCGTATTCTTGGGCGTGACAGACTGATAGACTTGTCAGTGGGTGGACCATCGGCGCCTCGTGCCTCCAACTAGTCTTTGCCATTTTTGCTCACTGAAGTCTTGTTTCTCCACTTACGTGCCCATTTAGCTTGACTTTTTCATATCTCATATCTCTATGTCCCTTGTCGCTGGCCAGGAGATGGTCTCCCTGTGCATGTCAAATTCTCCGTCTACCGGTCGGTATCAAACTGTGGAACTTCATCGGATGATTCTGGTGAAACTCCGTTCTGGTGAAACTTCTCTGGATGCCTGGGCATTGTGCTCCGTCTGGCAGCTGTGGGCCATCTGGCGGCCCTGATCGAGATCGTCACCAGGGGTGTGGCATAGCAACCGATGTGTCGAATTCCTTGCCACACGGTGCATTTCTTCAGGTCATTAGCGGGATTGTCAATCCCGTTTGGGTGTGATGCCCCCATAGAAATGTTGACATTGATAACTTTCAAACATGACAGAGCTTTGTTTTGGTGTATTGGCATTGGAGCCTTCTTTCGAGAAAGAGTTCTCTTGAAACAGGAACCTACTACACTGCTGAAGACTAAGGTGGAACATCAAGACCAAGGGCTTCTACAAAAAAGACTTTTACAGAGGCATTTCAGGTTCCACGTTTTTTTGGGGTGATGTGAATCAGAATGACCAGTGTTGGTCAAACCTTAAACTCTTCAGAATCCTACACAGCCTGACAAGGAGGACAGATAGCACACGATTTCTGGCGGGTCAACAACAGTATAACTGGTGTTCCAAAGAAAACACGTCATAAAACATTGGTAGGATGAATATATGTGAACAAACATGCAATATAACAAACGTGAAAGGCAAACAAATACTGTACTGAGACCCCCAACCAAAGTCTATTTTGAACTGGCTCTTCCCAGCATTTGGTCTCCCTACATATTCTATTTTACATAATACACATCCATTAGGGCCGACAGAAAACTGGTTGTCTTAGGCGACACAGCTAGCTAGGCGTCACTTGGCGCGTCAATTAGGCGGCGCCACCGATGGTGTCAAAATGCTACTAGCTCGAGAGTGTGGAGAAGAAACGGCCTGTTTCCTCTGCATTAAAGATCGTTTGAAGTGGCATTGTTTTGAGAACACCAAAAATGTTGTTGTAGTGATTTCGGGATTCCCTTTTGAGAAAGTTGAGAAACCCCACGAAGGACTGAGTTTCACCGCAAGACCACCTCTTTCTGGAGTAGACAATACCATTGCGACGGCAAAATGGTCGGAAATATCAACTCAGCCATTCGGCCATTTCAGCCATTTTCGCTCATGGAAACTGCACAGGTGCTGGTGTTCCGAATGAAGAGAGGCTTTTGTGCAACGAAAAGAGACCTTTGGTGGTCACTTTAAGACTGTAGACTTCTTTCCCAGGACCCTCCAACAGGGTACCGGCCCTTTCAATCATTTTGGAAACACACCACCATCACTTGAGTGTGTCCCATCACCTGGAACAGTCGATAAAGATCTGTAAAGGATCATCACTCTTTTTGAGATGGAAAGGCCTGCAGCCTAACCATCATCCACTGGGCCCAAGGGAATGGGATATATCACGACATATAAACTACACCCTTATGCCACAGGGTGGACAGTCACCCTTTTTCAGGCCCCGGGCGGCCCCGTTCCGCAGCCTGAAAGCACGGTATGGGTCCCATCGCTCGACAGAGCCAAGCTCGACAGAGCCACCCTCTCCTCTCCGGCTCTCGAGTGGATCGCTTTTAGCCCAGCAGAGTTGGGCGACGCAACCCGCGGCGCGGGAACGGCCGCGCGACCGGCAGCAAAAACGGTGCGGCCACCGAAGGAAGGCGAGGGTGAAGGGCCTTGGAACAAGGCAGGAGTGCCATGGGTGCCATGTGGATGGCCCTTGAAGGCAAAAATACCGTTCTTTAGTTTTGACGTGATTCTTTTTTCTCGGAAGTTTCAACAACGGAGTGAACCCCACCTTCGAATCGTGAGTTGGAAGTGGAGTGTGAGTCGGAGTGTAGATCATAGAAACGATCGGACTGAACTATATACGGCTTTATATGATGTCCGGGATCTGAGTATTTTGTTGCCGAAGATGGACTTCTAAAATGCTTCTGAAAGAGGATGCTACTATTCCTGAGCAGCAGCCAACAACTCCGCGCACTTCCGACCAACTGAAAAACCCTCCACTCGACCCGAGTCAGACTTCCTTGAAGCACTGGAAGAGCTTCCGAGCTTCTTCCTATAGGCCACGCGGTTTTTTCTCCGCGCTTCGTTCGATCGCCCGGGTTTTGGTTCGTTTTTGGGGTTCGTTCGGTGGATGGACTTGGGACGCGAGGCGAACTGGTTCAAGATCACCATTGGAGCCCTTCGGCACCAAGTGAGGGGAGAAGGATGTGGCGAGGACTTAGTTTGATCAGACCCTGGAGACGCGAGGATTTGTCCTTTCCCCGTAACACAGTCACTTATTATACTGCATACTCTTTAAGGATGGACGGTGCAAGCTTCTTGTGCTACGGTCGGTCGATTGGTCTAAAGTCCAATGGTTTGCATGTTGCATAGCAGATGAACGCGGTGCAGGTTTTCTGTTTGGCGAAGTTTTGCATGAACTCTGGTAAGTCGGGTCACACCTTTCAGCATACTTGAGGATGTTGCCAGTAGTATTTGTGTTTGTTTTCTCCACCTACCCTGCTGCAGGTTCCCCCAAGTTCGCACCAAAGTTCATGGTGCTCCCACCTCCAAGTGATCACTGATGACACGTCGAGTCTAGTCTAGCCGCTAGAGTTGCTAAAAAGGGGTTCCAACCATTTTTTGCGAAGCACATGACCCCAAAACAAAAGCATGACCAGGGATCCATGTACCTCAAATGAACACCAGAACAAAACATGACCCTCCACCCAACTCCAAATGCATTCACTCGGACTTTCACGCTCAACTTCATGATCTGGTCCGTGCATGGCTTGAGCCATGATTGCATCGAAAGCTCGAAAGGATGCGGCGGCATCCGGCAACGAATGGCATATCGGCTGGAACGAAATGCATGTACCTGACCGGAAGGGAAGTTGTGACTGAATTCATGGATGGTTCTCTAAACGCACCTGGTGGGTTATCTCGACATGGAAACTCATCACCTAGGGTTTGAACTTTTCGCATTTTTGGATTACTTCGTTCACAGTCCCAACCATGCGCAGTCGTTTTTCTGTGATGCGAACGTCCTGCATTCTCACCGAAGATTATCTAAGTTGGCGCTTCCAATTGGTGTCCAATGGTGACCTATAGGCAGTGTAGGGTTGTCCATTGATAACCCCTTGGAAGCAGCTGGTAAGTTGCTGGTCGAAAACACTTCGCTGGCCAACCGAGGCAGTCATCTTCATCAACACTCTGTGGCTGTTGGCGCAGGCGGCCGTGGCCCTGGTGCAAAATTCTGGTGTAGTGGGTTGGTTTACATTGCAAAAGCAGGGGAGGAGAGAAGTAGCTTGGCGGTTCGACTTGTCGACTTGATGGACGGCCCTTGGGGTCAGAAGACGCAGCAATCATGGGATGATGTCGATGTTGGATCCTGAAGCTTTGATCTCGTCCCTCAAAAGCAGACAGAGTGCAACTCGAGTGACGAGTGGGTCAAACTAGGCAGTGGATCCAAGATGTTACAGGCATTCAGATTGGACACAAGACTTTGTTGATAGGTCAAACACATCACATTCACTGGTCGCATAGGAAGACATTGCAGGAAGACATTCACTCACTGCACTCACTGGGGGCGCTCCATTGGGTCACTCCCTTCGTTGCACCTCTCCGATCCCAAGACCGCGGGATCCACCCCGAGGCCTTTCCGTGGTTCCGAGAGCAGTCCTTCTGGATTGACACCGTGCAGTCCTTGGCTACCCGTGGGGTTGGAAGCCAGGGAGGCCGGGGCTTTGGCGACCCGTGCCACGGATGTGTGCTGGGCCTTAGAGCCCACAGAACACCTGGGATGTTGCCAGGCCAAAACTGCTTGCCAGGCCGAACGTCGCCGAGAACGGACTGCCGAACGGAAATTCAACGGACATCGTGACAACGAACCATCAGGACATTCATCAATCTTCATCACCGATCCACTCAACTCCCAAAAGTGTCCAGCACTACCCCAGGACTTGCCAATGAGGCTTCCTCCCTCAACAGGTAGGATGAAACACCGCAGTTCAGGGACAACTGGAGACGGCACACTGAGGCATTCTTGGCAGTCTATGTGGTGGAGACCGTGCTGAGGCTGGGTGAGATAAGCTTCTGATGCGAAGGTGGCTGTCAAGGCATTGGTTTAGATCGGAAGTCTGAGGGTCACGAGTTGTGTGCCCCCTGGTTGGTGGAAACAGGAAGGGGGCCGACCCTGACCATCAGGGTCCCTCTAGCCAGAGGTTTTGTCCATCAATCATGTGTCGTGAAAGTACAAAGGGCAAGGGAGGGATTCTTGCAAGTCACATGGAGAGAATGGTATAGTCAGGTCATATTTCTAGAAGCAGTTCTGGCTAGGGACGTTGGGTTGCTCGCATGAGAGGGATGTTTTGGGATGTTGCACAGTTCACGCTACCTTTTTTGAAGCTGCCTGCTATGAGCTTAGAGGTTTAACACGGCACTGGACTGTAGTCTTCTTCAATCAACCCTCCTCCTCCTTTCTGTTCCTTGCGTGGGTCTTGTGACGGTTTGGATTCCTACCATGGTTGTTCTTGGCCCGGAAAAGGCCAGCAAAAATTGAAAAGCTGCCAGCAAAAAGCGCTTCGAGAAACCTCTCCGTGGCCCGGCTCGTGCGTTTTTCAAGGCTGAAGCAAGCCGCACCAAACTTGGGGAACCCCGAAGACACACTGCTGTCATTGAGGAAGGCATTCGGACTGTCATTCATTCATAATGACTCCTTGTCATTGGACGCCGATGGATGAGAGTTCAGCTCAGAGCACGATCCCATTCATCTTCGCTCTCGAACCGCCCCGACCTTTTCCCCGAGAAAACGGATTCTCTCTTCGAACCGCCCAGGATTGGGCACCAGGTCCCGTCTGCGAAATCGTCCGGTCGACGCCAGGATTGGACATTGGAAGCTGCAGGTGGGGAAACCAAGAGAGGCTTCGTCTAGGTCGGTCGACCGGGTTCGGTGCTGGTTGGAGCTTGGAGGACCGACCTTCAACATGTAAGGAAACACGACCATGTGTATAGTCTGAGTCTCTGAAGGTAGATCAACCGCTGCCGTTCTCTACATGTCAAAGATGTGGCCGGCCCAACAGTGATCGCAGGATTTGTCAGTTCCGTGACAGTTGGTGTGTGTAGGCGACGGGTTTTGCGGTTTTTGGCGGCTGGACACGAAGTGAACGTGCAGCGGAATTTTCACATGGCTTGAGATTGATAGGTTGGATCACTCTGGGCAGGATTTGGATGGATTTGGTGAGTTTGCATCTCTGCGAGAATCTGGTCCAGAGCGTTGCAACACACCGCGCGAAGTCACTGGCAGTCTTTTTGCATGGCAGGCCTCACTTTTGAGGGAACAAGTGAAGGAGCTCCTCCAGAAACCGAGCAGCCAATACATGTTTTTTGGCATCCTCTTTGTGACTAGTAGTAACAGGGAAGCAAGGAATGGCTCGTCGGTGAGGTGAATCTTGAAGTGTATTGGCCCACGTGGCAGTTTTGTGTCATCCGAGTCAATCCTTCGTGCGGCTCCTGCCAGTTCTTCTCGCATCCAGATGAAGCTGGATGGAATTGGCCGGGCATCCCAGGCAACAGGACCTGATTGAATTGTGCTCGAGGCTGAGATATCTTGAATTGAGATTTGATCAATACTGTACAATGGTTTCAGAAGAAGACATTTCTGCGATGTGGATCAATATGGCGTACAGGTTTTGACCAAATCACTCAAATGACATTGCTTTTGAAGCCCTTGTAGCGGTTGGGCCTTCTATGAGAGTGCAGAACCTGTGGAATCATGCCTTGTTTTGCTCCTGAAAGGGCATCTTTTGGTGAGGCGTGATAGAACTGGGTCTCCGTTCGATCTGGAACAGCATGTTTGGACGTTATCTGAATGCGATATTCAATGCACGTAGGAATTTCCTGATAAATGACAGAACCTTCGGCCTGCTGGAGCCCCAAAGACTCAAGAACACAGGGGAAAGAACCAGTGGTACACTCCCAACAATCGTGAACGTGGATGGCGCCGAAGAAATCGTCATGACATCCGAATACCAAAGCATTTCTTTTTTCCACGTAACCCATGAGGATTTTCAGGAGTCTACCTGGTCTTGGGACCACCCCCCCGACGGTTTCTGACCCCAAAACAACCGATGGTGCCACGAAGTCGTCTCCCAAGTTCCTCGCCTCTTGCTGAATCCGGTGAGGCTTGATCCAGACCCTCAGAAGGACCCCAAGGTCGGTCCTCGGCAGCGACCCGGCCCATCGGCCATCACCAGACCCTGAAGACAAACCAAACTCCTCCTATTGGAGTTCAGGCCCGGATTCTGAGGGGATTCCATGTGGATTCCACGGTAAAACCCGCCTTCCATGTTGCGGTCGCCTGGGTGTTTTAGAGCGGTTTTGCATCATGTTTGGCTGGTATTTGCAGTGTTTTTCTGGTTTACCCGCAGAGAGACTGGGGAGAGCGATACACACAAGATTTGGGTGTGGGGGTAAGTTGTTATCTACGTTTGAAAGTTGGTTGCGTTGGTGTCAGATGAGCCGTGTCGTTTCTGCTCGCTAATCTGAAGCCAACGCAACCAACTTTCGAACGTAGATAACAACTTACCCCCACACCCAAATCTTGTGTGTATCGCTCTCCCCAGTCTCTCTGCGGGTAAACCAGAAAAACACTGCAAATACCAGCCAAACATGATGCAAAACCGCTCTAAAACACCCAGGCGACCTATGCAAACCGCTTGCAACAACCCACTCTCACGCCGAGCGCCCAAACCTACCACGCCGGTGCTCCAAGCGTTGGGGGGACGTCGGACCCGGAGGTTTGACCTGATCATCGTCTTGTCGGGCCTCCTTGAAGAGATGGTTCCGTGGCAAGAACGGCGGACCGGACCAGGTACCCGGTGAAGGAGCCTGGGGAAGTGTTTGAAGATGATTGGGTTGAGATGTTTTTTCTGGGCAGGGGAGAGCAGTTGAGGGGTTTTCCAACGTTTTTGATGCTGGAATAGACAGTTGCCAGGTCATTGGGAACTTGTGGGAAGCCGAAAAGGACGCCTCTTACTGTTTTCAACTTGTGGGTCATCGCTTTGTTGGTGGCTGGGCAGGGTAGGACATCTTCTGAGGATTTGAAACACTTTCGTTCGCCTACGGCTCTTGTGGGCGTCAAGGACCATCTGAAAGATCCCTGCACTTCGCGGACCGATGGCACTAAGACATGATGACCGGCGCCGACGGGCTTGATGCGGGCTTTGCTCGATTTTGTTCTCCTCTGCAAACGGGAAGAAGTGTGAACATACCATAACATACCCGACTTAGAGAAAGACGAAGTTTGCCCAAACGAGACGTTTGGGTCTTTCGGGGTGTCCAGGCTGGAGGTCCCTTAGTAGTGGGCTGGGGCTTCCAGCCAGGTGACCCTGGCATGAAGGTGGGTGCGCCAGGCTGGCGCGAACGGTGGCTTCTTGAGCCGGAAAAAGCGCACGGATCGCACTGAGGAAAGCATCGAGCACAAGGAAAAGGGAGGACATGCAGGTGGGCGGAAGAGAACGAGCAAACGTGCAGTTGGTGCAGGTGGTCTTTCTTTTTCCTGCGAGGAGCTCAAAGAGTTCCGGACTTTTCCTGTTTATGTGTTCCTCCTATCTCTTCCTCTGCACTACACCAGATGGACGGAACAGGTGGTGCCTGGTTTTGAGTTTCCAACTATAGAGCGACCTCTCGCGCTCAAAAGCTTGTGTCCAGTGCCGTGGTAGATGGACCCAACATTTCTCCAGCCCCTCCGCAGAACCAGCTGCTCCCTGCTCCTTCCCACTGTGTCTCAAGAGAAACCAGCTGGGGGTGACGAAGTCCAAATCCGCAATGGCCAGCCATCGCTGTGTCGGCGAGTTCGCAGGTAAAGAGCTCATGGCCTTGCGAGTGGGGTACCTCAAAGAAGCGAGAAGCGACTTCGCGACATCCGCGGTAGGGGAAGGTCCATCTCCCTGCGCGGAAATGCGAAGATCAGTTTGCGATGCGGTGGAAGGGACGGTGTCGCGACTCTCCGAGGTCTTCAAGCCCTTGCGGCTTCTGGCCAGGCTGGCGAGGCAGGGCGGGCGCCGGGGTGGAAACGAAACGTCGCCAGCGTAGCCGCCAGAGCGGTCCGCTTCGTTTTCGGTGTTCGGTGGATCGGTTGGATGGTGCGAAGCGAAGCATAGCGAAGCTCAGAGGTAAACCCTGGTTGACCACCTATCATGAACTGGATGGACTACCTGAAAGGTCAACTTACCACGCTCTAAGGCTCCAGGCTTTCAGTTTCTCAAACAATGCGGACGGAGCAATTCGTTTCTGAAAGAGTTCGCTCTGAGTCCCCCAGGAACAATCCGCCGTGTTGAGGTTGACCACCTCCACGATGACATCCTTTCTACCTAAGTCAAATCCCGACGGGACATGGATCGAGGCCATTCATCCACCAGTTGAGGCCATTTCCTTCACAACCCGCTGGCTTCTTGACATACCGAACCCGTCAGGTTCATGCGGGTGATCCGGCTGCTGGGAACCTCAGCATGGCGAACGGTGGACGGCGGGTGAGCATCATCAATCCCTTGTGCTGATTGGTGCCCCCCTCTCTGCAGAGCCCCATATTTGAAACCGATTCACAACTGAATCAGGGGTTCCTGGCCGATCTTTCCAACCATACTTTATAGATAATTTGACTTTCTTCGTTTTGTTCGTGTTTGAGAAAGAACATTGAATCGAGGAGTGTCCATCAATGCGCAGGTGTTGTAGTTTGCTTTTCAGTGTTGTGTCAAATCCCTTGAGTTTCCGAATGGTGGCTGAATGGTACTGTAGGAGACCTTCTAGGTCACCTACTGTTGCTTTAGTGGAATTCTGCTGAGAATACAAGCTGAGATGATTTCAGTTTTGTGGCTAGATGGCAGCCTTCAGCTTCGCTGTTCTCCCGAGAAACAGCCCGGGCGATTTGGGCACGAGGAATTCTCAGATTCCGCCTGCATCGCCGCAGAGGACTCCACTACCAAGAGAGGTTAAGTGACCAGGTACCAGGGTACCTATGGGCTGGTCAGGGTTCTTCAACCTGTGTTGGTATATACTACCTGTGATCACAGCCCTTCCACACCAAAAGGTTCCAATCCGTTCACCAAGAGCCCTTCGTTCACCTCCTTTTTGTGGGGGCGTCCTACCAAGAAGGACCCGCTCCGGGCCCTCTGGGCGTCGATGGATTTTCTCCCCTTTGAAAGAGTCGAAGGGGATGAACACGGTGCCCCCAACAAAACCACCTGCGTAGCTGAAGTCAGGTCCTGGTAGAACCACCACGAAAGTCAGACCAAATCTCCAAGGAACTTGGCCTTCGCGTGTTGCTCACCGAGGTGTCGTGTGTTGCTCACCGCCGACTTCTCGTGGGCCGCAGCCTTGGCGGCCTTGGCCCTTCCGGGGCGCTCCACAAAGCGCCAGAGAGACGTGACAGAAATCCGATTCGGAGCCTAGACAGGTGTTTTTTGAGGTGCATATAAGCATCTGGAATCTGGAGTGATGATCCATTTTAGCTTGTTGGATGGTGCGCTTCATACATCCTCCACTCAGCCTTCATGAGAAAAGCAGCCCCTCAGGCAGCCTTAGAACCAGTCTAAGACATTGCCTTACCCCTACAGGTCCAGTTCGACCTCATTCGACTGGAGTTGGGTCGGTTCGACGTTCACAAGATCAAGATCCATGACTTCAGGGCCGGGAGACTGGAACTGTAGTTTTCATTTCTTTTTTCTTCCCCTCCTTCCCCCCCCTCCCTCCCTCTCCCTCTCTCTCTCTCAACTTGTGGCTTTGAAGACGCCAGGTCGAATCTCCCAGTTTTCAGTCCACCGCAGGCGGGAGCTTTCCCGGTGGGGTCGGCGGGTCTTTTTGACCGGTCTTCCAGCTCGTTCCGGTTGGGACAACGGGCGGTTCCGGTTCCGCTGGTGGTTCGGCTGATTCTGGAGGAGGCTAAGGCACGTGGTTTCCTTTCTTCTTCTTGATCTTGTCTGTGCCCAGACGCTCCAAACCGTTTGTGGTCCCTCAAAACCTAGGGATTTGAGACCCCAGACCCCTTGAGATGAGACCCCAGACCCCTCCATATAAGGGTCCAGGAGCGTTTGGGCGTCTCTTTTTCTGATTTTGCATTCCGGCCAAGGTAGTTTGGAGGTTTCGTTCCGTTTTATGTCAGACAATGGGGATCCCGGTCCATTTTCTGGCATGTATTGGGATTGGCTCAAAGCTAATGTTTGTCACTTTGGTTTACTTGCCCATGCAATCAGATGCACTACTGTAATTGTGTTTTCTCGCTCGCACCCAGGGCCCCGGTTTCTGGTGGCTCCGAAAAGACGGCCCCCTGAAAAGGTTGGGTCCCAGCTCTTTTTAGATCCTGAACAATCATTCCAGTTTCTCTCCAGTGTTTTTGAACATGTTTCTTTACTACTGAAGATCCTGAAGCTTTCAGATCTCATCCAGGCCTTCCTTTTCCTATCTCCCACCGCCTAGACGTCACCGCCAAGCCTCCAGCCTCATTCATAGGCGTAGTGATCATCCTCAATGCCATCATCATGGGCCTCGAGACCGATCTGGAGTCGCCGATCTTCGAGTGGACCGAACAGGCGCGGGGAAGAAATTGGGTCGCAGATGTGGCTGGGGGGGCTAGGAGGTGCTAGAAAGACTTTGCTTTACTGGCCAGAGCCAGGCCTAAGCTGAGACACACAGACAGAATTCTTAACAAGTTGAAGGTGAAACATGGTGAAACGTCTTTTTTTGTTACCTCTTTTGGCTACAGCCACACCGTGCGCCGTCGCCTTTGTTGCCGTGGTTCCAGTCGCTTCAGCCACGGACTGAAATGATCTGTCTCCAAGGAAGATTTGATTGTTCGAAGGGGAAGTTGACCCACGGGTTGGGGAAAGTTCCATTGTTGAGGGCCAAAGGGAAGGATCACAACAACTATTTGCTTACCATCTAAAAATACACCTCACCAGAAGGTGGTGGGATATATTTTTTATGGGCGGATTCGTTTCGAAGTTTCTTCACCAAATAAGAGTTTGCTGGAGTGCGCTGCTTGGGAAGTTTCTGCCACCTGTTATTGTTATTCTCTCACTTTGCCACTTCTCCACCCAGTGTCAAAATCCCCCTTTCTGCCAGCGAGGACTGAATTGTCACCTACTGCCCAAGTGGTTACCCAAAGCATGCAGAGCAATCCTTCTACATCATTGTATACATCTGTCTACACTCCGTCGGACTCATCCGGGTCGTTCGGGACGGCGCCCTCCAGGTCGTTCGGTCGTTCGGGACCCTGCCGTCCACGTCATCCTTTCCGCCTGTGGATCCGCAGCCTTGCTCGGATCCGCACGGACTGGACTGAGAAAGGCTGCGGATCCGGCGGAAACTGACCAAACACGGCGCCGACGCGCCAGTTTATGCTGGGCTTCTTCGTGCTGGAGTGCACTCTGAGGATTAGGCTGGGCGAAAGGAAGAATTGGGGGTGAAGGATTCTGTTGGTGCCAAGTCGCACACCTCTTGCAACCAGGCAAATGATATGAGTGATTTTGGTCTTCTTGAGGCAACCACACGCTTCCTGGCTTCGACTTGCACCCAAAAATCCACGGTCCCAAAAAGGGCTCCAGGGCATCGCTCCCACTGAGACAAGCATTGCCATTCCGAGCGGCCTCGCGAAGTCTAGCCATCTCTTTGCTTTTCAGCGAGGGAGGCAGGCATTTTTTTCCAGCAATCCACCAATTCCAAACTGCGATTTGAGGCGATTCGTCTCCACCAAAAAAGGACGCAGGGGTGCTCCAGCTCCAACGCTCCGGAACGGCGCGCCGGGTGTCCCCGGTGTCCAGGCACCGGGGCTGGGACTTCTTCATGAGTCCTGAGGAGCGGACGGAGATGGGTGGAGCGACCGTCCAGGGCCGGGAGCGGTTCGGCCTGGGGGCGGAGGTGGGGTGTGACGTTCATGTTTTTTGGAGGGGGAGAAGGGGGAGGGACTTCAGGAGCAAAAGAAGGTACTGCGGACCTGAACAGAGAGGTAGTTTCAAGAGGGGATATTTTTGAGGTGGATGTTGCGGGGGATTTGGTTGGGATTTTCTTCGAAGAAGCCAAACGACCGAACGAACAGAACGTGTGAAGACTCCGTGCAGATCCCGCGGTGTTTTGGAGTCTAAAATCATAGAAGACCAAGGATGCGGGGATGATGCGGGTGAATCCAACATTCTTCATCTCTGGGAGGCCCAGACTCCATCTCTGGGAGTCCTTTGTCTCGGCCTCCAGGACCGTGGCTGGAACATCGTGGACTTCACCATCGCTGGGGGTTTCAGGGGTGGAAGAAGTCATGGGAAACGCACCTATCAGATGCATCCAAGTTCCAACTCGTTTGGATTCTTCCCTCCTTTTCGGCAGTTCCACTGCTGGTCGAGCGATTAGAAGCGCTTCTGCACTGCTTCTGGTCGGTGTCAACCACCCTCTGACCGGTGGCGACACTCGGAGCGGAGAACCGACTTCGGGGGACCCATCACCGGAGATCGTTTCGGACACTCGTTCGTCCAATCGCAAGCCTTCGCCGATGCGCCGATGCGCCGAGGTTCGGGATTTGGTTGGTTGTGTTGAGAGTCGGCAGGGTGAGCGGGAATACAGGCATGGGATTCTTCGGGTTCCGGAACTCCTGCGGTGTGACGTCCAAGGCTTCAGTCTTCTAGAAATGCCCAGCTCAGACGGCTGTTCCTCCGCTTGAAGCGCTGCGTCGCATCGACTGTCAGGTGGCCTCCGGGGTGGTGGACGATTGGATCCTTAAGGCGGGAAGCGCGATCGGAGTTCGGAGTTCGGAGCTTCTTGCGCCACGATATGGATCTAAGACCACCCCCTGATCTCCTCCCAAATGGAGACATGAGGCCGGTGAATGGAACACGCCAGACCTCTTTCTCAGGGGGTGATTCGGAGGCGGTAGAGGGTGAAAGGATCCTTCCACGCCACACGCCCTCGGTGCGAGGCTTGGAGCTTCATTACACAGCAGCAACAGCAAAGCGCGGGTCGTGGGGTGTGTGTGGAAGGGGACGGCGCCGCAGCATTTATCAATTCGAATTGGTTATTAGTTGTTACTCGTAAATTCTTAATTTTTTGTTTTGCCTAGTTTCACTGCTTTCTATAACATTTTGGTTTGGTGCATGGGTCGGCTAGCTGGCTGGTATGCTAAGAGAAATCAGTCTCAGCTCTCTATCAGCGATCCTGCTTTTGCCGCCACGAGAATCAACAAGGCATTTGTTTGGTTTGCTTCTCCTTCGGATGGGCGGCTGGATTGGCGTATTTACCTTGTGGAGGAAGGTTCGACCATATCGAGAACCTGGTCTGACGGGGTTTGCTCAGGGCTGACTGGGTCCCACCAGCCCTGACTGTATGTTGAGCAGTCCACTGGGTCCCACCGATGTTCATCGTTCTTCCGTGTGACCCTCCAACAGTTGCGTGGACTCCCTCCACTTCGGATTCTGTAAAGAATTCACCTGGAACCCCAAACAACTAGAAACAAATGGTTGTTCCAATATGGCAATTGAAATCCTTTACATAGGAAATGGTTGTTTGGGGAAACATCCATTTCTTTCTGGTTGGGACTGGGGTTCCAGGCAGGTATGAACACCTCAGATCCCAACCTTCACTCCACTGTGCCGATGACAGAGTTGAGTTCGGCCTGAGGGGGCGAGCCCCCGACAGACACCCGCTTTCCCGTTGAAGCGCCCGAGGTTTGGAGGACCAGATCAATTGAACCACCCTGGAAACATGTGCTCTACCAGGATCCTCCAACAGGCTGTTTGGAGACCTTAACAGGTGGTAACAGGGGCACCTGTTGTCACAAAGGAAGCACCTGGCCAGGAGGGTGCTGGTATAGGCAAGAAGAGAGAGGGAACCCCTGGAGAATCCCAAACCAACAAGCTTCGCGCTCGCTATCGCTCGCATCTTTTGATCAGCTTCACCTTTGCCGGTGGAACACATGTGCGCACCAACATCCCCACTTCGAAGGGCCGGAAAAAGAATAACACAAAAACAGAAACAAGACACAACAAAAGGAACCCGGGGTCTTTCCAAGCCCTTCCGCCCCCGGCCACGGGCGTGGTGGCGGGTGGCGCGTGCGGTGGCAGGTGGAGGCCTTAGCAAGCTGATGACGTTGGCTCGATTGCTGCGGCTCATGAGGCCGCGGAAGTGGCCGGAGCCGCTGAAACCGCCGTGCTTCCGCGGCCTTCCGGTGAAGATTGAAAAACATTGGGGTGACAAGTGGTGACAGGGACAGGGGTGGATGTTTTGACGCCACCAGGTACCGTTCTTGACATGGACACGAACATGTGCAGATCTTGCAGGAGTTGAGAGGATACAGGCATATACATTCTTCGCTGTCCATTTTTGGATTGGACCAAAACTCATCCTCCGGCACGCAGGATCCTGCGGCTGGTGCGTGTGGTGCGAGCCATTCGGCCGCTGTATATGCTGGCCATAGGCGAGGCAGCAGTGAGGGGTGTGTGCCGAAACGAGACCAAGGGCAGTATGCTCAGTAGGTCTGTGCAGGAGAATAGATGAACTCGGCAGGGATTGTTCATTCGGTGCCCATGTAAATGGGACTTTTCAAAGATGGGGCTGGCCGGCAAGTACATCTCATGTATTTCGACAGGCTCATGAGCCGTGACAGGTGACTCGCGGTCCGTTAGCAGAAAGCCGTGACAGGTGACTCACGGTCCGTTGAAACCATATCTGCAACCTCACTGGCCTTCCGCTCAAACGCGCTGGTCCGATCCTCGTGCCCAGGTGTCGTGCGGGCGATGCAGAGTATGTTCTGGGTGCTGGCTGGGACACCCAGAACTCACCCAGACCTTGCTTTGGGCTTTGCTCGCTTTCCAGTGGGGGTATGACATGATTCACTCCCAGGACATCCGGGACACCTGGTGGAGAAGCGACCTGCATCCTCCGCTTTGGAGCCAAAAGGAAAAGGTAGGCTCGATGGATCAAACTGCTTGTGACATGTGGTCTATGAAAATGGGGCCGGAAGTGCTCGGTCCGCAGATCAGCAAAGATCCAGTCCCCTGGAATGGACCGTGGAACCACGTTTTCTTGGGCAACTCGAGTTGACAAAGCATAGACAGCTCGAGGAACAGCTCCATGGACCTTCTTTCGGGAGGTCCCTGGACCTGGAGGTCCCTGTAGCGAAACCAGCCAGGTGATCCCCGACATGGGGAAAACAGCAACCAACCCATAGGTTCGTTGGTCGGACGTCGCGCGCCATCGCGCGTCACGTCGAGGTCCTGACCTTCGTAGCGCTCTATGCTCTGGCCATCCTGACGACCCGCGCCATCGGGCGAGGAGAAGAAGCGCGCGAGAACGAGCGCCGTGGGTGTTATTGCGGGGCCGCAAATTGGTCCGAAATTGGCCGATTTCAGGAGGTCAGGGGGTGCTTTGTTATGGTGGAAGGGGGTCTGTAGGATCCTATTTCCGGTGTGACAGGTAGCCATCTTGTTCTGCGTGTCCAAACGACCACTTTGCTGTTAGGTCAATCTTCCTGTCACTACCAAACACCGAAACCAATACCACGGTTATGGTTGGTGGGACATCTTCCGGTTTCAACGCCCCGCATCCACCCCTTGGGACGCGCCCTTCGGCCACCGTCAGGAGAGCTGCTGAGCCTCGATGCCGACATCCCAGAGGACCGGATCCACTGGGCCCCTGGGTTCCCTGGGAGAAGACGTACAGAACAGAACACACTCAGAACACTCAGAGTGGAAAGGATCAGCATTTCTGGTGACCGGCAGAGTCCTTTGTCCACTTCCACTTGTCCAGGATGCTTGAGAGAGATTCCTGTTGACCAGCAGCATTCCACTGTTGACCAAGGGACACATGAAGGACGATTCATTTCAGAGTCTGAGATTGAGATGGGGCAGAAAGACCTGTGCAACCAACATGTGAAGCAAAAAAGCATGGCCCCTAATGTGATACATTGAGTCATTTTAGAACCATTTTGACACAAATCGACATGAACATGTGAAAGACGATGCTGTGAACAATAGCTGACAGATGCAAAGAGCACATGTGGCCTCCAAAAAACAACGTGTAGGTGACACAAAACGACTCATGCCACTCTGGGGTGTTTCACACGTCTTTTGCGTGATTCTGCGGATCATTAAATAAGAACTTAACCCAAAGATTGGACATCTGGTTTTGGTCTGAAGACTGGACTCAACCACCAGCCATCCAGGCCTTTGTTGGAAGTGTTTTTTGATGGTCAGGGTATTCTCTGCAGACTCTTCAGCTTTTTTGGGGTCGAGCTGTAAATTCCAACTCGACACTCATGAAGCCGGCACGCGGGCGGAGCTGCACAGGGGAGATTCTAGTCCGGCCGCATGACCCTCCCTTGTCAGATGGTGCCTGGAAGAACTATGCTGCTTTGAACCAATACAGGGGAATACCATGCTGGGAATCAGTGTAAGATGGGGTTGTACCGAGGGACCACCCCCCGGTTTACAAGGACATGTCCTTTTTGGAGGTTTTTCAACCGGAGGTCGACCCCATTGCGCCTAAGACATCGGGTAGAACGTCTTCTTTTTGAGGAGACGCGCTTGATGTTCAACACCATTGCGGACTCGATGTTTGCACTGTACGCCGATATAATCGCTTTCCGCCAGGGAGGGAGGGTGGACGGAGCTTTCCTGCGGTGTTTCCAGCGGAGGACGCTGGTTTCCAAAGCGGAGGACGCTTCGAACAAAGCGCAAAAGACACTGCTTGAAGGGATGAGAACCTCCAGCATCTGAAGAAACATCTACTGTATGTAGGGTGTAGCCCATTACCAGTAACAGTCAATAAAGAGTATCACTATTTTGGAGAAAGGCCTGTACTAACCACCATCATCCACTATTACTGGTACAGTAATGGAATATACCCAACATCTATGTGAAAGGTTCTTTGAGTACCATCCAAAAGGACAACTCCTGATCGATCCGTCTCCCCAAAACGCGGTACGGATTCCAACCTAGCTTCACGTACGGATTCCCGTTCGTCAAATTGCGGCAGCGTTTGGGCTTTCAGTCTGCCTGACAGCAACATTTTCATCGCCGATCCTCGGAGCTCCAAACGGTGGCGGTGGGGGGGTCGGGGACTGGGCTGACTGGGCCGGAGACGTTGGGCGTTGAGACGCACGCGAGCGCTCCGCGACGCGGCAAAGAGCGGCGAAGATGAAACAGAGGTCCATGCAGATGCAGGTGTCTTTTTGGCAACGAGGTGGAAAAAGACATGAAGCTGAATTCTTGGAGTCACAGCAGGTTGATGCAGGCTTTGTGCAGGTTTGATTCTTAGGGACGACTAGCTGCCCTTCCTTCAGTTGATGAAAGAAGATCCTGTACCACCTCAAACGCAATCAACAAATGTCGTAATGAGTGTATATCACAATCTCGGGTTTTGACATTTCTCTTTCTGCATGAGCACTTGCACATCCAAGGAAGAAGACATAACTTTGGTCATTTGAACGTTTGACGAAGGCACCTTGGTGTGTTTGATCCGGGAGGGTTCCAAAGCGACACTGAACGAGCATATCGACAATTCTTTGGAGTCAAGCAGAGGTGTGTGGAAGTCGCAGTGTGAAGCATACAGCTTCGAGAAGATCAGAGCCTTCTTCAGTTCGGCAGTTTCATGTCAACCATGTGTCATGTTGTCATGTCGTCAGCCACCGGTGCTTTGCTCCACCAGGGGGGAGGCACACCAGCAGAATGCACCGTACCCCGAACGGGCGACGACGTCCTGAGGTTGGATCACGGTGTGAAATCGACGACATGACGATGATCAATGCCGACGTGCTGAAACAGCGAAAGCGAATCAACAGGCCGTTGGGCCGTTGGGAAGATGAAGAGACGACAGGCAGATTGCTCTAGAGGAAGAAGAAGACCCTGCAGCCGATTTCGCATATCGATGCTGGGGAGATTCAGTTTGATGAGCTTTTGGGAGGGCAGTGTATGCGATGGGTCATAGATAGGGCTTCAATTGGCTTGATAATGTCAAGGGGTGCCGAAGATGTATCGGGTGCATTTTTTGGTCACAGCAGTAGTCAGAGCTGAGACTGTTATTCTGTCGCGGTCCGACTACCAGGCGTTCTACCTAGAACCCAGCCATGACCTTTGATACGAAGGGACCCCGTTCCGCTCCACCCCTCCAAAGCTTGGTTCGACCCCCAAACCCCTCCAGATGGCTTTGGGACCCCTCCAGATGGCTTCGGGTCGCATTTGGGTCGTTGCTCTTCTCCGTTCGTCGTCCAAGCCGGGCCTTCCGGTGCGGAACACCCCCCCGGCGGCGGTGGACCGAGGACATCCACAGGATACCGGTATCATATGTGACCATCAAGCTTTCAGTCCGGTCTCCATCGTTTCTTTTCTTTTGGTTTTCCCCCTGTGGGCGATCCTTCCGGTCGACCCATTCCATAAAAATGCACGTCGACATGTTGCAGGGTCTCCTGGAATGACTCCAACGGCACCAATTCCGGTTTTCTTGCGAGCTTCTTGGACCCCAAGTGCTTGGGGTTCAGCCCACGTGGTCCAGTATGATTTGGATCCCGTTTTCATGTATCCATCAACAACCATCAACTGGCTCGCTTTGATATCGCCTGAAAAGGTCTTATAAAAGGTGTTTGTGCTGATGGGTTCGCTGGAGTCCAAACTGACCAGTTTCATTGTTTAGTTTAAATCATTTCTAAAAAACATTGACCCCATCAGCATTTGAAAGAATTCCATCGGTTCATTTCAGTTGCACCAGATCCGATTCTTGGAGCCTCCAGCTGCCAGGAAGCTGACGCAAGCGGCCAACGCCCATGCCACGGCGGTGCTGAACGTCGTCTCCGAGGAGCCGCAGCGGTGCTGAAGCGCGCGCAGCTCAGCCGGTGGCGGAGCTGAGGCCTGACGGTGGCGCTGGTTTTTCTCTGGTGACCCTGGTGGCAGAAGGTGGATCTGACAGCGACAGTGACGTTGGAGTCCTGTTTTGAGACGATGTTTTCGACGATTTGGAAGCAAGATGACATTGGGGTGGTTGGATGTGGTTGGTACTTCCAAAAGAGGGGTCAAAGAGGTTCTAGGAAGAAACGGGATCTGACTTTGTGGGGAAGATGCGGGGATGGGAGAACGAATGAGACGGACCCGCCAAGTGGGCCAAGTAATGGATTTGGTGTGAGGTTTGGGACCCGCGATGGTTTCGTGTCTCCTAAGTTGAGCTTGGGATGACTGAGACTGAGATGGTTTTCGAATGTCAGTATTGGACTATATTGGTGTTTGCACTGAGCCAAGAGTACCACGACCCATGTGTGGATTGCTGCAACGTGCTCGATGCCGAATGGGAAGGGATAGCCCAAGGCCTCACTCTGATCAAGTTCCAAACTCGGCGTTGATTTCCTTCCCAGGTCTGGGATGCTCTTAGCTGTGCATAAAAATGCTTAGATATTCCCAGGCAATTTGATCGATTCGTCTTTCTTCCAGGCTTCGAACTGGAAGGCCACACACGTTTTGGAAAAGGCGTTGTTTTCGTCGCCCCAGTGTCACCCCCGACCGACAGTGGTCCGAGTCGCCCAGCGCCACACGCCGGACCGACCCCCCTTGGTCCTTCGCCAACCCCAGGAGCTCACCTTGATGAATGGCGTGAACATGGCCACCGCTCTGCATCGCATCGCGCGACACTGTGCCCGGCCTCCGAGAGATGGGCCCAGACCCATCCAGGAGTATCGCGACGCCAAAACAATGGTTATAGCAGGTTAGAGCGGGGTAGATGCTATGGGGGTGTTGAGTCACAGGTGTGGGCGGTTTAGGGTTTAGGGTTTTAGGGTCGCTTGGCCTTTTGGGTCCTCGATGGGCAGCTTCAAGCGTCAATCAGGGATCCATCGCATCTTGAGTCTTTGTTGGACCCCGATTCCTAGGCAATGAAAAAGGTTAAGGACCAAGTCTTAGAGGACCTGTAGAAGAAACTGCGAGATGACTCTGAAGCCGCAAGGACCACTTCTTCCATTCTCTAGGGAGTGTAGGGCTGAGTTTGAGCACTTGGGATTCTCTTGTATCCTTTGTTGTGAACGCCTAAGATTTACAATTTGCATCAATTTGCCAAGTTCTGGGGCAAACATCTTTCATCTATATGTTTCCTTCCCCAACTTGGCCCACCAACTTCGCTGGTCTGCCCAACGGCCACGTCCGTTTTTGTCTCCAGGTCAAAGGAGAGGCTGGCCCGGATGGAGCCGCTCCAGAGGCCAAGAAGGAGGCCGCGACCCGGTCAAAGCCTGGCACATATGGGGGGGGGCAGAACAACCTGCACCTGGCTGGTTTGGAAAGCGAAGAAGACATGTCTGACCCTTGTTTTTGATAGGATTTCGGACCATCTTTGGGGTGGTTGGTACTCCAAAAACAAGGGTCAAAATGGTCAAAGAGGTTGTACCAAGCGCCCTAACTACCTCTGGCGCGACTTTGCGGATCTCTATGCTTCCGGTGACACCGGATTCGAGGGGGGCTAAATGGAATGGAACACCATAGACCAGCCCCCTCCAACAGGCTGTTAGTTGAGGGTTGTTGGACCCTAACAGGTCTCAATTGGTGACCTGTTGGAGGATGCTGGTATAGGACGTATAATAGGAACACATCCATTTTGGTCGTTTCTCCAGCTTGCGTTCCAGACTCCTTTCCTTCACCGATCTTTTAGGGGACCAGTGTTGGAAAAAAAGGAGCTCAGAGGTAGTGGGTTTAGTGGCTCAAAAAAGCAACTGAGAATAAAAGTTAGGTCTAGAAACCTCACGCCGGGCTTCTCCAGAGTTTTGGGTCACCTGAAACACCTTCCGTTGCTTCGAACCAGGGCGTCTCATGGCTCCTCCATTGTTCGCCGTTGAACAGGTGGAGGCACATCCTGCCTTTGCCGCACTGCTGAAGACTCTGGAGCAGCATGCTGAGGTGGTGCAGTCAGATCTTTGAGCAAGACGTTGATAGAGGAAAACAGTCCAGATTTTCACCTCACTTGAGGATTTGAGCTGGTATGTCATAGGAAACCTCTTTTGGGGTGGGAACTGTGTTTGGGCTGGGTCATCCAAATTTGGGTTGGTCAGAAGGGGATGAAGGGGGATCTGGGGGCAGATGCACCTCTGGAAGCTGTTCAGGGAAACCATATGGACCAATCATCTACATGCAGATGACATCCCTGCATGGTTTCTTGAATTCAGCATGTGGATCCACCAAAGAAGCGAGGATGGACTCCAGGATGGACCATTCCCGCACCCGCTCAGCCCGTTTGCCACCCATCCTTCTCTTCAGGAGCGAACGCCACGTACGAGTGTTGCCATCTGGAGATCCCACTGCGACGTACGACTCTTCACCAAGCCGCCTTCGAACTTGGAACCATTTGGAACCCATTGACCACCTTACGGTTGCTGTTGCTTGACATTTCAACTAAAAAGCCGGGCCATATCTCTTGACTTTGGTACCCTTCTCCCCGCAATTCTTCTCCCTTGCGGACGAACGCCATCCCCTCTCCGGCCCCTCCGCCGCAGATGTCACTCTCGGCGGACCACGACACAGCTGAGGAGTGCCGTTCTCCAGGGTGATGGACATCGAAATGACGATCTTTCTTTCAAAAGAAACTTCAAATCTCCAG